AAAGAGAAAAATAAGAAGAAGTAAAAGTAAAAGGAAGACCTAGAGAAGGGAGAGAAATAAAAAAAGCATGTGAGCATCAATGATTTACTCAAGCTGGTCAAGGGAGAAAGATTTAGCTCTGAAAATAGCGGAGCTCTAAAAATAGCGAACCTTGTCAAGGTTGACGGGAAGGAACTTGCAATACTCTTTGCACGAGCATGTGCGATCGGCAACGATGAAAGCCTGACTCTACTGATGACAATGATCATGCCACAAGTAGTTGATGTGTCAGATTCCACGATGCGCGAGATGACGCCAACGACACTAGTGACCGACATCAACAAACAAAAGTTGCTTGTCGTTATGCATGTGAATCTCGCCAAGGACATGCAATCCGACGACACTTGATTCTTGGAATTGGCGCTAGCAACCACATCACAAGACACAAGACTGTTTTTGTCGAGCTCAACACCAACATTATTAGACTAGTAAACTTTGGGAACTGATTGGTGGTGAACATAAAAGGGACGCATCACAATTTTGTTTGTTTGTCGGAACGGTGAAGACCCCACACTTATTGATATTTACTACATTTTCTAGTTGTGTAACATCATCGTAAGCATCAAACAGCTAGACGAGAACAGTTGTCAGATCTTCATCAAGCATGATGATCTTCGACTTTGAGATTGACAGCCACATTTGCTCGCCAAAGACCAGCCAGCACGAAACAAATTGTACGTTGTCACGTTTGACGTTGTTCAGCCGGTGTGCTTCGCTGGCCGCTTTGGCAACGACGTTTGGAGATGGTACTAGCGATACGGACACCTAATGTTTTACGCTCTCCGGAAATTGGCAAGTTAAGATATGGTGCGCGGTTTATCGTAGATCAAACACGTCGATTAGTTGTGCGATAGTTGTTTCATCGGAAAGCAAAGATGCGCATCGTTTTTCCAAGTAGCAAAACAATGTGCAGACAAGCTCTTGGCATGTCCGCACAAATCTTTGTGCAAACTGATCGCGCCACAAACATCAGATCATCAATGCTACTTCCTTTCCCTTGTAGATGACATGAGCTGCTTTAGGTGGCTTACACTCCTTATCAAGAAGGATGATATTGCGATAAGACGTTTCAAAGCCAAGATCGATATGCAGAAAGAGCACAAGTTTTTTCTTCTCCGCACAGATCGCGGTGGAGAGTTTACCGCGTTGACTTTTGCAGCATATTGTGCCAACGAGAGCATTGAGCGATAATTGACTTCTCCTTACTCACCGTAGTAGAACAGAATCATGGAGCTGCTCAATCAGACTATTGTCTAGACGGCAATGAGCTTCATGAAGGCGAAGGATGTGTTAGCAAGATTTTAAGAGCAGACGATGAACACTACAGTCTATCTTTTTAACTGTTCGCTGACTAAGAGCGTCAACACCATGACACCCTACGAGATGTGGCACGGCTAAAAGCATGATATTAGTCATCTTCATGTGTTTGGTTGTGTTCCGCACGTGAAGTTGATGAAATCGCACCTGGCGAAACTCGATGATTGTTGTAACATCAATGATGTTCCTTGACTACAAGAGAAGATTGATGGCATATTGCCAGGCCAATTTAATATATCGCAAAATTGTTAATATACTACAATGTGATATATTAGTTGCACATTATAGAGATATATTAAGAAACGTGGATACTGCGTTTGGAAGCTCAGCTGTTGCATTCTGCGCCATTGTGTTGTGGTTTTCGTCGTCTGTGACGGTTGTAATGACTTCAAAGTTAGCTTACTCTTGGAAACAATCTTATGCTGATGAATCTTGTTGAAAGTTGTCAGCATCAATGAGCAGAATCGACAGGTTGATATTGCTGTCTGCCGGTTTTGTCAAACTTTGGGTCGTGAGGTTGATGCCGTTGTTCGCAAACTAGCTAAGACGAAAGTGTTTCAATCTTTTAAGAAAGACGCTTTCAACAGCAACATCCAAAGCAGTGGGCGAAATACATTCAGGTCAAGAATGAGAAAGAATCAAATCCGGATGCATTCAATGCTTTCTTTGAGCAATCTAAGCTTAGAGCGTTCTTCTTCAAGAAATCTGAGGTCAATGGTGTTGTGTCCTATTCCATCGACAAGAATATCGCTGAAATCATAATTTGAGATATGCTTTTTGACGAAAACAAATTGGTCTCAGGCGATATTGCGATGAAAGCATTCGAGCTGGTGACAAACGAGTCTGGAGAAATCATTTTCTACACTGTTCATATCAAGAACAAGCCCCAGTTTAACCATGTGCTTGAGTCTTTAAGCGCTGGTCTCAGTTTTTGCCAGATATCAAAAGTTGTTCAAAACGATTGAGAGAATCTTGCCCCAGCAGCAAAAATGAGGTGTATTTCTCTTGGTGAAGCCTCAAACTTCACGCGTTTGGCTTGTGCAATAATTGTAGGCAATGGCAGAGATAATGCGATCATGCTGGATTTTTTCTATTGGAGCGGACGAATTCAACGACGAAGGTGGAGATCCGCATCTTGATTTGAAAAATCCGTTTTCCTCCCGTTGTTGGATATGATGGCAAAGCCAAAATTCAACACGGCCTTCATCTCTTAGCGATTCTTTTGTTCACTAAAGCCCACATTGGGCAGATTTATGCCGATATTGTGATTAAGATGTTGGATGCACTTTCTTCATATTGAAGAATAAAGTTGATTGGTTCATCTACTGACGGAGCTGGAAATATGACAGGCCATACCAATGGTTTCTCGACACTTCTTCTCAATCAATCTCTGTGCAGTGATGCATTTTACGTATTTGGTGTCTTGCCCACTAGCTTGACCTTGTGATCAAAGAGTCAATCGACGTCATGGCTGAAATTGAACGATTCGTGTTTATGAATATCCTCATCGAAGTTATCGCATATCTTCGACGTCAAATGAAACTCATTTGTGAGATGGGATCCAAATGCGTTTATTATATCAATGTCCGCTGGACGTTCCTTGCTAAGGTGCTGAAGTGGCTATTGGCGAACCAGATTCAAGTCTCCACCTATATGCAAGAGGAAAGTTTTGCTCATTCTTCATCTCCTGTCTGGTATGTATTATGATATTCCTCAACGAGTTAACATCATCATTACTTCAACAGTTTATTGAATCTGGCGTTTGATTTTCAAGTAGTTAGTTGCAAAGGTCGTACACGTCTTTTTGAAGAGTGTTGTTATTACTTTCTACGCTCAGCAAATGACTAATGCGCATTTGTCTCGGCAAATGAGCAATTTGGAAAGGCTTTGTGAGGAGTTAAAATCAAATTGTGGAGTAGTTGTTGACGACGGTGTTGCTGAGTTTGAAGGTACAATAATTATCTCGTCCCTAACTGAACTCCAGATGGGTGCTTTTATAGATAACTTTGACATAATCAAGGACAACATTTGATCCATAGATGTATTGGCGATGTACAAGTTTGAATCATTGGAGATGGCCAACGCTTTTGATCGTTATTCGAGCAATCGCTGTGATCTATCTCAATTCATTGAACGACATGATGAAGATCAAGACCGCAAGTAACTGCTATAATCAAGAGTTCAACTCGGTGCCTGCAAGTTCTCCGATGGATTTGATTGCAGTTTTTGCCATAGCTTTTGTTCGAATTGTTTGAAAGCACAAGCCTCAAGTATTGAATACGTTCAATGAGTCAAAAATGGTGTCGATTACAAATCAACACAAAGAGTTGGTGTCATCTGTAGCACGCGAACCAACTTCAGGCAACGTTGGAGAAAGTCGCCAAGAAATCCTTTAATCAAGCTTGGGATCCTATTGGCCATCGCTTCGAATCCCTGCGTTGATTTGCTTCAGGTCTCACCTCTGTTACGCCAACAACGAGCCGTGACTTCTCCTTCATGAACTATCTCAAAGATGAGTACAATTGAAACTTGTCGAACTATTCTCTTGAAGTAGTCATGTTTGCACGTCAGCTCAAGCAGCTCGATTAACTGATAGGCTGCATCTACGACTAGATGTAATACACTTCATCTTTGTAGGTTTTATGACTTGCGATATAATAGATATATTAAGTGCTCTATTTTGCGATACATTATTTAATATATCACAATAACGCAAAGCGATACATTATATCTCCCTGCATATCGCGTCTACGATCCCATCCGAGATAGCGTTCACGTCACTAGCGACGTGCTGTTTGACAAAAACACACAGTGGAACCGGAAGGATCAAGAAGGTGATGATGAAACTATTCCGGATGAGCGACTTGGGATTGCTCAGCTTTTATCTTGCCATTGAGGTGAAACATGACTTCAATGGAATCTCCTTGAACTAGGTCGCATATGCCAGCAAGATCCTTCAAAATAGTGGCATGGAGGTATGCAACTCTTGCCTTGTACCTATGTAACCACAATTCAAACTCAGCAAGATGAGCATTGCACTTACAATGAACGCAATGGAATACTTATAATAATAGTCGGATTATATATATATCGATAATAATAGTCGGAAGTCTTCGATGTCTTGTGCACACACTGCTTGACATCGCGTACGCGATGGCGTAAATGAGTTGTTTCATGAAGGTTTCTATTCATCGAGAATCCAGCCGTCGTGAAACACATCCTTTGGTATATTGCCGGAACACGGCATTATGGTTGCCGGTACGCGAGGAAGAACACCAACATTACGCTCCTTGGATATAGCGATAGCAACATTGATATTCGCAAGAGCACCAACGGCATGCTATTCTTACTCGACAAGAGCGTTGTGAGTTGGCCGTCGCAAAACTAGAATGTTGTTGTGATTTCAAAGCCACTTGGTTTTGTTAAATTTCAAGAGTTTATGAGCCAAGATGGATGTTGTCCATCTTAAGTTTAGGGAATGATTTGTTAGATAAATTATGGCAGGTAGTTATTTTGATTTTTTTCTGTATACACTACTCTGTAGGCATGGAGTTCCGTCTGTGCCACGTATATAGTTCGATCCGTACATTGTATTTAACCCTCCCACGCTGCGGTTATTTTCTGTGTTTTTTTGTCTAATATACAACGTTAGTATTATCAGTGCAGATGTGGTGAGGCAAGGTGCTGGTTACTTGGAATACTTCGTGGCGGCAGCTCACTCGACCGCCCGTGTGAAACTTCGCTCGTGCAACTTCAGTCGGTGTTAATTTCGGCCAGGGGTTTTAATCTAGATGATGGCGGGTAGTTTCGTTAGTTGGATGTTGAAACGAGAGAAGGAGAACGAGAGAGTTTAGTTTGGACAGCAAGTCAGAACTGTCACAACGCGGGTGTCAGTTTCGGGAGTGACACTTAGTGACAGTCACAACGCGAGTGTTAGTTACGGGAGGCAGGAGGCTAAGAAAACTCCGAAGGCTTCAAAAGAACAGACACTAAAACAACTCCTAATGTATTCGAAGAGCCGAGCAGCAAGCCGGCCAGTTGAGAAAGAAATTCCAGCAGCTCTGACAACTTCGTGGGATACGACACCGTTGTGATTAACATGCACGTACATGCTCAAGAGGAACTAGCTAAATGCGATGAGGCCTTAACGAGAATTCACACATGGCGGAGGACTGTAAAGAAAGTGAGGGAAGTTGTAACCTCCATTGTCACATGGCGGAGAACGAACGAGACAAGAGCTGTATTGGGACAGGCTGAAAATGAAGTGAGGAGAAGGATGTGGCACAAGAACCACCGGAGAAGAGTGAAAGGAGGTTTTCTAGTTCAGACTAAGAGGTGATAGAGTTTGTACCTTTAGCTACACGTCTTGATACTCGGAATGAACGAGAAGATGTGACAGAGACTGGAAATCTTAAAAAGGCTTCACAGCTGAAGTTTGTGTCTTTTATCAACATTTGACTCAATTGGAAATTTTGAGAATAGAGTAACACAAATCACAGAGTACTCTATCGTTTAGTATATGGTCATGAATGATTGAAAACAACTATATCATGCATTGGTGATATCATAAAGAGAATTTTGCTTAATCAGACACCTTGCTTTGGCCCGCCACTGCGACTACAGTCTTGAAGATGTAACATTCTCTTAAAGACGGGATATTCTTGGGCTTTGATTGCTCGAATCGTTCTGAAATTCAGTGCATGCGTGTGCAGAACTCCGTTGCTGAAAGTTGTTGCGGTTTCTCCCACGACTATAATGGTGACGAACAAAGGAATCCGAAGGGCCCAGTACCTGCAGCTTCATAGACATGGACACCAACTACCCTTGGACAAAGGACCAGCACGGAGATTCGCCCGAGTTCTACATCTGCCCCTGTACAGCACAATCCGTCTCGAGCTCTTGGGGACCTGAAGGGTATGCACGGTGATGTGAATTGGGAACGTGATAAGTGTTCCAATGGTGCTCCATCCAATGTGCATGTTGGAGGCATGGAAAATAAATTAGTTCCATGAGCAATTAATTGAAAATATTCCAGATTCATTAAGTTACCAACTCAAATTCCTGATAAATGTAGTGATAAAGTGAAACTGGCAATCTAATCCAACTGGTTCTATCCTTGAGTCACTTTTGTTGCAAGACTGGACCAGTTCAGTTCCTGTGATGTGTGTGAATTGTTCTAGAATAATGCTTTGGCTCTAAATATCTACATGTATTAATTGTTCGTATTTCGGTACCCTTTTTGAAACCTTTGGAACATAAATTGGCTCCCCATATCTTTACATATCTTAACATATCTTTCTCCTTCAGCTGACCAATATGCTCAATCATACGTCTACTCTTGTTATTGATTCTTGGAATAAAGGATTGAAAATTTGAAGTCAGTTCATTAATATTTAGCCTTCAAAATCAATGTAGTAATAAATCTCACCGTGATTTTTTTTCTTCTGAATTAAATAGTCTAAACCGAACAAATTATAATCATGATATATCAAATTAGGACTTAGTGATCTCTCCTTACTGACTTAAACCGGTCACTCAGCTCACTCTATTAGGATTTTAATGTCAGGATGTCAGGATCTGAGCAAGGTATGATTTGTGCTGTGAGCAGAACTGTGCGGAAAGAGAATCAGTGCTGCAACTTACATGTGATGCAGAGGGAAACCAAAGTCTCCTGATTGCTAATGAACCTAGTACTCGTTCTATGCAGGAACAGAGTAAGAAGACCACGCACTTCGATAGCAAGTCGAATATGACATCCGAGACTTCTATTATCCAGATTGAAGAGTGATCCGCCTTCGATATTTTGATACCTCTTTATCTGATGAACTATTAAGAAAACACTGCGTATTGTGAATAAGATCTTCTTCACTTCAAGTCTTGAACTAGACAAATATGTGGTCGGTCACCAAGGGACATGAAATCAACCATGCGAAGGTTTGATATGGCCGTGTTGACACACAGGGAGACATGACGTTTCAATCTGAACCGGAATAATTTATGACAAGACGTTCGAGAAGTTCATGGCTCTTAATTATTCAGCCTAACTGTTGAGAAATTAAGAGCCCTGAAGTGCAATGAAATTCTGTAGGAAATTGTGCTGAGGTATAAACTCTCCACTGAGCTCTAGTAAATCCGGAGATGATATACTCCAGATGCGCAGCCTCAGACTGTACGAGCTTGAAATGTCAGCAGCCATCAACATTAAATTCTCGGTGGAAGGTGTAGACTGAGGGTGCTGAATTTGCACAATTCCACCGACTGGAAGTACTGGGTCAAATAGGTTCCATTATTGGCAACTGCAGCCCTCCGGGCTTGAAATGTTACACCTGAACTTGAAAATCTGTGGCAGGCCGGTCGCAACTGCCAATCCGAGTTGCTACCATACTGATATATACCGCACGACACTGACTCTCGCCAAATGGATTCCTTTGAATCAAAAGGCATCGTCTCGCCCGACACCTCGCATCCCATAAATTACAAGGGCACGACCACTCCCCACTACTCGACGCAGCACTCGACGAATTTCGCCTGAGCGAAAACGGAAAGGATCCGGATGTTGGGGAAAATTGACAAAACTGGATCCTTTCCGGGCTGCAACTCGAACACTGACTTCTCGGCGCTCGCCGAAAAGCTCCACAATTTTGCACATCGTAGCGGGAAGGAATTGGATTCGACTGCCGGACGGACAGCTTGGGACTGAAGCAGTTTGTCAGTACGTGTACTCTCGGGCTTATAAGCTCGCCGTGAGCTGAATGTGCTGCGCCTTCTGCAGCTTTCGCTTTCGCATGCACGAGGACCTCCGCCCCGATTCGGGTCCCCTCTGAAGTTCCTCGATCACCATTGCTCGGAGCGTTGTTGAAGATTTCTCTTCCGCATGATTCCTGTTAAACCGCTCTGGGATGTGTCGTCGATGAGCAGCCCGCTTGACTGAAAATTCGACACATTTCCTACGCCTGAGTCTTAACCACCTAAAGCTCGTTCGCCCTGTTCTTCTACTGTGGTCCTAACTCGCATCCAGTACTTTCTGGCAGTAGGGTCCCGATTCAATGGTCTCTGATCTATCCGCGAACATTCTATAAACATATATTACACAGCTGCCTGCACGCATCAGGTTCATAAGCTAGCTGAAATCTGTAAAGGGAGTCGCTAATCTCTAATCGCTACTCTCATCCGACCCCAACTGAAGGGTCCTACTACATCTACATCTCGTGTCTCCACATCTCGCGTCTGGATTGTATTATACAGTTTATTGTGAGAGCTGCTGTCCTGCCCATCGGCTTCTACGACTAATCGTGATGGTGAAGGACGCAAGCGAAGCAGATGTGAGATTTGGAAGACAGTGAGCCTTCGCCTGCTAGAGAACGAACGCACTGAGGAGAGAGCTGTGGCTGTTGAGGCGCGTGAGGTCTCTGCTTCGGAGACAACACATTGCTTCGTGGAGAAGGGCACTCCTCGACAGCTGACCCTCTCAGAATTCCTCTATCCTGAATCTGTGGCAGAAGACTAGAGAGTTAGTGACCGCCAGGTGTAAATTTTGGATCAGTGCCAAGAAGTTGTAGCAAGTTTTCTTCAAAAAAGCTTTCCAAATTGAAGTAACTAACAGACGAAAGCTTGACCGACAGTGGTGGCAAGAGAAGGAAACATTTGGTTCCAGAGAATTGCCAACTCTGTTCCTAATTGATGTCGAAATGTGAATCAAATCTCATCGAGAGAGCTCACCAGATTCAGAAGTGAATTCCATCTTGACGCTTGTCTTTCAGGATCCGACACATTGACGTTCGTTCTCCACGTCGAGTTCGTCGATGAGGAGGACGACGACGACGACATGTTCACAGTAGCCCTGGAGTACCAATCGAGTTCCATGTCTACGGACTGATGGATTCCCTTCGTAAAAGAAAGCTTACAAAAGAATGCCTGTGATAACTAAGTTTCTGCTCCTGACTTACAGCCCTTCTATGAAGTGATCGAGAAATCGGATCACTCGAAGCTGGAGGAGGGTGTGTGGTCGACAAATTGAGGAGGTCTATAATTTTCTGAAGGAAAGGATCACTTCACGAAGTCCTGCTCTCACACTTGTCTGAATTGCGCATCCGAAAAAAGTGCTATGAAACCAGTTGGTCTCCCCTAGAGAACAGGTGTCTCACAATGCGGGTTACACTTTCCTATCCAGGTGTATAGTAAAGTCCAAAGTTCCACCGCGAGCGCAAAATTACAGACGATGTCTACGGTCGCGCAGTATTGAAGCAACTGACTGCACTTTCAACTATACTCTTGCCCTCGTTGGCCTCTGCACATTTCTCAAATCCTATACAGCGAAAGCTCCCGGTACTCCTGCTCCAACACCCGACCCCAACAAGCCAGCCGCTCGAATTCACCACTTCTTGTTGCAGGTCCAGTGGAAAAGAAGAGCTCTTTCTTTCCTTTCTGCCTTGTCCCTCTCGATGAATGGCTCTGGCTCTGGCAGGCTGGCTGGCTGCTGTTGTTGTTGTTCTTGTTGTTAGGGCTGTGGAGACCGACTTACTTCTTGCTCCCAGCCCGCCCCTGCTCTCCTTTTTACCAATCCCGAATGCTCCCCTCCTTCGACGCCCCTTCCCTCCAAGAATCTATCTCCCTCGCCTCCCGCTCATGCAAATTCCCCAAAACCCGAAGAACCTCGCGTCGCGAAGTTCTTGATTCCCCGCAATTGCGCGATCGCCGCATCCTGTCGTCATCAGCAGCAGCCTGCAAATGCTCCACCTCAGTCGCCAGTCTCGTCCTGTCTCTGGTCCCGGCATCGGCATGGGCTCCACTTGCTCAACCCAGTCAAAAACGAAGGATCGAATGCAAGCAGCAATTGGAGGCCGACGTCCAGCAATCATCACTCTCCGTCCTCTCCGTCCTTCGGCCCCGAGTGGACCAAGCGCACATGGCCACATTGGAAAATGTTTTCCGCGTTCTGTCATACAGTCAGCCGTTGACTGGTTTAATCTTAACCACCGAAATCACTTGCTTAAGTTCGGATTGGGAATCTTGATGCAGGATCAAAATGACGACTCACGACGAAGAACTCAAGATACTTTTCCTAAATCCAGAAATTTTAGAATCTGCTTAAATTTTATGATTAAGATATTTCGCAAAGAGCAGTTTCGAGTAAAGAGAGAAATCCAAAGGATTGGCACTTCTTGTTCCCCGTTAGCATCGACAGCGGAGCGAAGTCCGACTCAGCGTCTTCAACTGAGCAAGATGTTTCGGGCAAGAAGCCAGCGGAAGTGGCGAGCAACGAGACGACGTGTGGCCTAGTTTAATCATACAAATTCAAATTTCATCATCAAATTCTGTTTTCACAATCTTGCTCAGAAGAAACCTGCACCCGGAGCTTCTAGAGGGATTAAATTCGCCTCCTCGGAAGAAAAGTTCGTCTTCCAGTCAAAGACGAGAGCTCCTCAAGAAAGCAGTCCACATGCAATCATTTGATTCCCACAAAAGTACCCAGAATCATGATCCTGAATTTCCTGCCATTCATGGGGGTCGTCATATGTCGACGAGAGGGGAGTCGGGAGTGAAAGGACTCCACGGCCCAGGAGTAAACACGTGAGACACACCATGGCGCGCCTGAGCGTGGAGGTTCTTGTTCGGGATTTTGTGAGAAAGCCATGCTCCTCTTGTTGCGAATTCGGACAGAAGGAGACTGTGGAGGTCCCACTGTGCTTGCAAACAGTCAGATCTTGTGGATTGCAGGCGTACGTGTTTCATGTAAAATTTGGCATCCACGCGCAGCAGCGAATATTTTATGGGTTCTGCTCGCAGACGACGCTGCGACTGTTCTAACAGACCGCGGCACAGGATATGAGTTGCGTACAGAAACAGAGTCTCCGCCGCGACCCTACCATTTGACGAGCTACTGCGCTCTTTTGGCCGCTTTGGATGGGCTCTCACGGAGACACGAGGCGGATTCTGTCACGCTTTATGTCATCCTCGTCCCGCTGCTCTTCTCTACGTATTCACCGCGTCTCGAATCTTTCTCATGAATGAACGAATCTAAAGAAACCTCGAAAGGCAAATTGATCACGTTTCCTCGGAATCTTACGTTCATGGCTGATTTCATTGCACGTCAAGCTAGCTACCATACTTGGAGCTGCAAAGTTCTAGTCACTGGGTCTGCGATCGATAGTATGGAAATTTCAGAATTCAACTGTCGGAATTCATCAGTTTTTCATTTCAGTTTTTCATCTGATTGCAACTACAATTTTGAGAAAATAGAACGAGGAATGACATGTAAATATATAGCTCGGCTCGGATCGGCTTGGCTCGGCACGGCTGGTGTTATCACTGCGCGTTCATAGTTGTCGGTTGTTATTTACAGACCCAAGAGCATTGCTTAGCCATTCCTTGCGATGATCTGGAGGTAGGTCTGCGACGGGAAAATTCCCCACGATTTCATGAAGCTAACATGTCCGATCCGACTGAAACTTCGTCGACACATCTCGGAGAATGACATCAGAAGCAAATGCGTAGATGTGATTTAGAACTTATCGGCATGCAAAGCGAACCTCGTTATATGCACGGACGTCCAGAGCCCGAAATTCTATACCCGACGACTGCTGAAGTCACAGCGAAGACTGCGTAGGAGATGAAATTTTGGTTAGATGATATCGAATTTCGATTCTTCAGCTCTCGATTAGACAAACTTGAAAACAGATTTAGCTGAGTACCCTTGGAGATCGCAAGGACATGCGATGCACAATGAGTGCATGTGCCCTGGCAAGACAGGGCCCATGCACTCCTGTAGAGATAAATTGAGCATGAGAGTCAGCAGATAATACTTTGCTGCACCACGACGAAAATGTGGCACTTGGATTCAGAATGGAGAAGATCTAGACTGTGCGTTTCAGGTCCAGTGGCTCATAAATCACCCGACCATGTACAGATGCTGTTCAGAGGGTGGACAGTGCTGAATCATTTGCAGCTCGTACACTGACGAGCCAATTGGAGGGGTTTTCTGGCACCAGTCATCAAGTGACCATCGATCCCCAAGTCAATTCTCTCCACACAGAGTATTGTAGAATATAAACCTCCGTCAGGTTCATCGAAAGATATAAAACTAACTGCAGACGGTGGACGTAGAACTTGATGTTCAGAACGGATCCACAAGTGCATACGTACACTCCGCAATTACCATTAGCTGCTCCTGTGACTGCACTCCTATCCCTTGCAATCAGCGGAGGCTTTTTCGAGCCTACCTGATGCGGCCTCGAACATCAGCAGCAGCCTGCTCATGGAGGGCCAGTCTGATGATCCGGCCATGTAATTCGGAACACGATCCGCAGGGCTCAGGGTACATGTTCGACACGGAGGGCATGCAGAGAGCATTGCGCATACACGTGGGGTGCTGCAACACATTATGAGTGTGAAGTGGATAACCATGGCGACAGGCCGCCAAGTGGATCATGTTGGGGGTTTGCCATCGCTTTGGCATCGGCCCTTGCCATAGGAGCAGGGCAGGAGCAGGAGCACAAACGCTGAGGCCTACGGGGCGCTCGCTACACAATGCAGCACCGCGAGCGAGGGCTCGGTCACTTGGTGCCATGCATGGCGCTCGGAGATTAAACCCTCCAATGTCGACTGAGACGAGTCCACATGGCCGGGCCACCTTAGAGCACCCTTTCCACAACTTTCTGCGGATGGAGGGCTTCGAGCTCTCACCTTTCGAAAGATGGCGAGAGATGAGAGACGGGATCCAACAACTATTCTTATCGACGTGACATGCCGTGGAGATGGTGAATCGGATTCAGATCAGCAGGATCGCTTCATGAAGAGGGCTTGGTCCAAATAGATCTTCCTTCCCTATATCTACTTTCATTGTCCCAAACTCTCGTTCTGGGAGAAATCTAACCACCTCCGGTACTAGTCTAACGAGTTTGAGTAAGATGTATTTTTTATAAAGAATATCTTTCGGAACTTGTAGGAACATAGTGGTAGAATATCTTCTAATCTGTTGAAAACTGTAAGTTCACGCTCTCTTCTGTCTTGCATATACCCCAAATTAATCACAGGTACATTCTATTTAGATAGTATGTAACAAAGTGTGAATAAATTACAATAAATCTTGTCGAAAAATCTGTTAAATGTGCTTAACAGGGTAATCTTATATGAATCTTGTAACATTGTTTATTGTGGGTTTATTTTCTCACCACGAGTAGAGGTGAGGCCGATTCGGCCACACTAATCTTAGCTCCTCGTTAATCTGTAGTGCTGTTAAAGGAATTTATTTTGTCATTTATTATGGGGTTAATCAACTGCCCTTCAGAACCCAACGTCACAATAACTGAATTCGTGTCTTGATCTGCAATGACAGTGATCTCTTTCATCACACCATACACCACAAGATAATATGTGGCATAAGACTTAACACTTTGAATCTACAGACGGAAGAGACGTCCAGTCAAAGAAACGATCCTGGTTTCCAAGTTAAGAAAGTATCCGATAACTGTTTGGGCAGCCTGTTAGGAAAACATTGGGAAAAATTGTCGGATATTGAGGATGTGAATCTTATCGTTAGAAGGATGCACAACTGGAAGTTAACCTTCATGCAGAGAAGAATACAGACAGAGAATGGAAGCCAATGAGAACTCATTGTAGTACCACAGCTAGTCCGTGACAAACCTGGCGATTAGAGCTAGTACAGATTACGATCCTCGGTAGGTTGGCATGAATGTTGAAAAGCTTAACGAAATCTGGGTGGAAGTTAATATCAAGTTATCACGGGGAGCTTTGCGTAACTGTGCAGCTCGAGGTTACTAGTCAAGTCTAAGGACCTTAAAACAGATGCACTATGAGCATCTACCACCGTTCACTGGCTAAGTCCAAAACTGTCGCATTCCCCCTGCAGGACTTCAACCTCATCCAATTGACAACATCCAGTCCTACCGTCTAAGTTCCTTGTTAGATTTTAAGGCACGATGTAGTTTCACCGCATCCAGGTTCCAGATGCACCTATCGCTGCGATAGTTGTTTGATTTTCAGGCCTGTATGGAGATCAATCTTGGCTCCAAATATAGCGGCAAAATTTAGGAGGGAGTGGGTCTACTCTTATGTATGTAAGAGAATCGATCACCCATGTGAACAACTTTTTTAAGCTGGCTCCCAAACTGCACATTCTTAGTCTAAGGGCTCTTTTGCCAGTGGAGATTCTCATATTTTTGTTCATTCTACAAGAAAAGCTACATCAGCAGATGCTGCTGAAGAACTGAGATGGTAAAACAATTCGCCCGTTTATAAAAGCACTTATACCTTGTACTAAAAACCTCGTAAGCATTCATTTCATCCACTGTAGGAGATTAACTTCTCGTTCCCCTTGAATCTAGCGATAACTGATGGTCCAAAATCCACCAAAACTTATTTGATTCTGAGATTTGAATTCGCCAAAATTATAATAATCTCGCATAGTATAATAGCGAATTAAGTTTCTCACCAACACATCAGCGCAAAACCCCTGCAGAGATCGGAAACCATGACGTATGTCATCTCAAAGTGGAAAGAGACCGAAAAGGGTTGACAATACAAGTTTCATCCCAGCAACTGGTCTCCCTTGCGGTGTATGTTTTGCCCATCGAGAAGGTCAAGTCGTCAGAATTGACCATCGTATTGAATAGCTCTTCCACGAAGTTTACATCAGTCAAAGGATGAGGAAGAGCTCTTTTACAAAGTTCACATCAGTCAAAGGATGAGGCAGTGCGGCAGAACAAGTCCTTGGCTACGGTCATTGCATAAAAGTGGTGAGTAAGGTCAGTCCAACGCTGCTGCCTCGGTCGCCCCTGCTTTCTACGCAACAATTGATGTTGATGTTGATCTTGATCTTGATTGTCCTGTCAAAGAACGGCTCTGCTTCAGCGTGTAGCCCCTCTACGTCTACCACATCATGAAAAAGCTTCATGCTTAATGTCCAAGCCTTTTAGTATCAACCAAGTGTTTCCATTATCGCTGTTTGTTTTCACCACTCAGGCTTTGAATCAAAGATACTTATATGACCACAGTTATCGAACAGGGGAGGCTACATGGCTACGGCGTAGAAATCACATACAAGAAAAAATCGACTGATTTTGACTGCACTGATGTCTATGATTTTTAAGTGTTGACCTAATCTCAAGGAGACCACGATAAATGTTGCAACAGGTGGAAGTGATTCACAAACAGAAGTCAATGAGCTGAAACCTAGAGCAAATCCCAGTGTTCATGCTTAGTGAAGGAAGAGATACATGACAACAGTGTGGGTAAGTTTCCATCGCTGGTTAGTTATAATTCACCAACTCCGAACGTCCGCCGAGGCGCTGTTTGGCACTTGCACACAACAGAGACTTGCCAAAAGGAGGCTGGTGACCTACCTAAAGCTGCATCGATGGAAGGATTTCATGATTTCAGAAGACGCCAAATTTGAGAACTAAACTGGGGATGCAAACAGGGAGGAGTATTCTGACAAGAAGCAGAAATTCCAAGAGTTGTTCTATAGACTACTTGATAAGTCACGCAAGTCATACACAACCTTCATATCGCACCAAAAAGTTGTTACCAGCATTTGTCACGAATCCAGCTAAATTTCAACGTTGATAGTCTTTTGCTCTATGATGACGTTCAGAATTAACCACAAAATTTTGATCGATTTTTTTTTCAAAATTACTACACATGAATATATTCATGTGAATGTGAAAATAATTCATGCATGTACCAAGTTACTGAAAAAAAATAATTATCGAGAAATTTAAAGTTTCAAGGGGTACATACTTTTCCCTGGCTAAAGATCTTAAGATTTCGAAATTTGATCTAGAATGCAAAAATTAATTATTCAACACCTTAAAATTGATCTTTTTTCGTTGTAATGGTTGATAGTCTCAAATGTGGTAATTTAAGAATATTTTTACAATCAACTAGTAAATTTTCTCAGAAACTTATTTTTCTTAGAATCATCAATTTCAGAAATAAATTCAGCTTTTTTCTTTCATACTACAAACTCATAACTGGAAGTGCACCTCATGATGTAGAGAACCTCTTCGTCACATACTTAAGAAGTATATTCTCTACTTTAGATGTAGAGGATTTGTCAGGCATTGAGTTTTCAGCCAACTAACAACCAGGTGAGATGGTGTCAAAACATGAATGATTTTTATTTTTTTACTATAGGAGATAGACGAACAAAGGAAATGGAAGTGTTGATACTTAAAAGGTTCGAAGGCCTTGAGCATCATTTTCAAGCTCGGATACCAAGCTTCGTCATTACCTCGCTAGTTGCGCAAACATGACATGGCTGGTCGCAAGAAGACAACAATCAATTACTGTATCGTGAGATCATGTTAGGCACAGCACAAGAATCAGATTTTTGTTGTAGATTGATAGTCACTACAGATGAGAAGATTTGACTTGGGTTTAATTCTTGACTACCTCTTGCACACAAAAGACATACTCTCAAAATAGTTACTAATTCAAATCTAAGAAGTTACTTGTGGTTACTTTGCATGACAATCGAAAAATACTATGCATGAGTTGTCGATGCCATCTGTATGTCATGTCTCTTCAAACATTTAATCACTACTGATGAAGATACTAAATATGTAACTCAAAAGTCTGTACACGAACGTCTTTCCTTTACTTTTACACCACTTTTCATATTCCACATTTACTCTCCAATGATACTGGAAGTAGAAGATGTAGTAGATGGCTGTTGAAAGACAACCTCATGTGCAGAAAACGTCAAGTACATTCCCGTAATAGGCTTCATCATCTCTTTGCTCAAATTGTATCACAATTAGTTATATTACTAAGGTACCTAGTGATGACCATTACTTGCTCAACGAAAGAAAATTCCCACGATTCCCAGTTAATACTCTATCTTTTATTCTTTAACATACCCATAAGGCCAAGGATGAGATCTTACACACTTCTTGCCCTAGCTTTTGCTTTATGCAAGGAGCTTATGAATGGTCATGTAGTCACAGAAATGACCGCATACGTAATGCTTCATCACTCCATAATCTATTTTATTCTCAAAAAGCACACCCAAAAAATTCATTTGTGACCAACAAATCTAATTGCACCATCCTAACCGTTTGGTTTGGTTTCATCTATTGCTTTCTCCGGGTCTTACCATATTCTTTTCTAAATTCCTTTAGTTTTTGTCTTCAATACTCACGGTGGTCCAGAAGTTAAAGTTATGGAATTCTTAAAATGCCTTTATATACTTCCGAGAGCTTGCTATACGCTGACTTATAAATGGAGGTTCGAGAATATTTTGCCCATGCCCGTTGTACGGACATGTATTACGTCATCTTCCTTATCCACACCACGTCCAGAATGCAGCTAAAAACCGTGCACATAGCAATGTGAATTATAATGCTAAAATATATACCTTCTCAATTGCTCTTTTTTCAAGGTAGCGAGTAGGCCTACATCATGTTTGCCAGCGAAGAAATCCATTATTGATGTGCACCAAGCCGTCCTCCATATAGTACATGTGAATGTACTCCAAATAACCCACGCTTGTGTCCTATTCTCTCCTCAAAATGCTTGCACCGACATGTTCTAGCTCGCCCTATAGGATCTAAGAAGTCAGCATGACATTGAGTCTAGATTTTATAGTGGGGCCTCATTCATTAAATTTTTAGGACTTCATAAATGATCCATGAACTACAACGAGGTCGGAAACCCATCAGAGGGTACGCATCAACTCCCACGAATTGGTCAAAAATCCTCAAGACGGCCACCCAAGCTACGGGCCTATGAAATGTGGTTCTATATATAGTATAATTGTGACCTAAACTAACAGAAATTCTTACGTATATAAATTGTGCAACCAATTTGCTTGCAAATCTACTTGACGTTTATTAAATTATGTGTAGATAGCTTTTCACCGAAAGAAAAAAAACATCGAGTATCAAATTCTGCGTAGGAAGCTTCTTGAGTTCGCCCTTCCACTGAAAAAAATAAAATGCAGAATTTGAAGGCTCCACACATTGAGAAGACTTCTAAGACACACAACGTCGTCTTGCCTTTCAAGGTACATGGTGACAAGAACAGTGCAAAAAAATCTCATCCGAACACGAAATATTTGTCGTGTGGAAATTCTCGGGCAACTAAAAGGAAGCGGATTCCCACGTCGAGGTCTTGGCAAATATCCGTGCACGTGTTCATTTCGAAGCAGGCATTTTATCAAACCTACGTGCTCGTAACCACGCCATGAGTTACCGTCGTGCATCGTGCATCTGTCTGCATGCCAAGGCCTTGAAGACAAACCTAACGGATTTGACAGTCCTCTTTTCATTCTTCAACCCTTCTTCTTTGAATATATTTTCTATTGATAATCGTCATCTCCACTTTCTAATTATCCATACTCCGTTCCAATCTGCAAGGAATTCTGCACAGTCAGGGCGTGGGAGAAATCAGTGGGTGTCCCCGAAGACCCACGTAGAATGGCGTAGAGGGTCACCGAAGCTTTGCTCTACATGCATGAGAAAGGAAGAGGAAAAAGGAGAGCCCTAACAATCATTTGAAGGTCTTAAGCCTCGAATAGAATGGCCATGAGGTCTAGACTTCAGTAGGTCGGCAAAATTAGGCAAGCATTCAACTTATCACAGTCAAATGAGAGGAAGATTCTGTTCACAAGACGGGAGCCGAGCTGCCGAGGAAAGGACGTATATACCAAGTCAAAGATGATGTACTCAGCGTACGATGACTGGCCACGACAGTCCAATCATTCATTCGATTCTGTTGCAGACCACTCCAGGATGATGTATCGAGTCCAAACTTCTCGGCTCACCATGTTCGCCTTCGTAATCTACTGCGTTGCTTCGTTTGACTCGGCACTTGCAAATCTTCCATCTCGGGACCTCGAAATCTAGAGCATGAGCTTCGAGGCAAACCACGTACCGCCTCACTGGGAAGTTTCCAGGTCAAATGGAAGATTCCGTAATCGGAGACCTTCCCCACTAGGCTTCTACGACTTTCCTTCTAGAGGCGGAACTAAAACGAGAAATTCGTGAAGCCGTGATCCTGTTACGGCGTGTCAAACTGGGACGATCAAATCGGCAGCACCCAGTTCTCAAAAAGCGGGCAGTTCAGGTTTGGAGACTTCGCTTCAATTAGAAGCTTTTTTCCGAGGCTGTAAATTACCCGGGAAACACAAATTACATGTCTGAGAATACTACTTATCTGTGCAGTTTACTCCCTTACACAGCTACGGTCCTGAATGATGGATAAGTAATTAGAGCAACTCATTTTTCGTTGTTTTTGGTAATGGTCGATTCGGAAATAAGAAGACTTTCGAAGATAACCTTGATTGGGCTTCTAGAAAACCACAAAGACCGTAGCCAATCCGATCTTCATAATCTTCACCTCTCTCGACAACATAGAGAGTATTACCAAGAAAGAGAGAATTGGTGATCGTTTACCTTTATTTTGAAAATCCGTCTCATATCCCCATCCAAAAAATAGTTGCATTCAAAAAACTTTCAATTAATGCATATTTAAGATACTACTTAACCGTTTCTGTTTGTCCATCATTCTTTTACATGTGTGACATTCTCTAAATCAAGTTTTCAAGCAAGTATTTTTAATGTCAAATAGTATCTATATCATTGTCAAATTTAAACCAAACATTTTCCTAAAATATAAGAAGCCAAGCTCAATGTTTACATCATCTACAATGCATTACTTCTATTTTTTGTTTCTTCTTATATTGATAAGATTATCAAATCTCAACATCACTTCTCGGTTCTTATCTATTTTTCTCAAAATTGACTTGATATTTTTCTTTTTTATCGAGATTATTTTCAATTACAGTTTCTTTTCAAATTTGCATCATATATTAAAGCCAGTGAAGATTCACAACATGTAGAAATCTACTGGTATAATCATGTACATTTTGACTTTATCGCACTGTTTTTAAATTCAGTATGCTGAGCTCGTGTAGATAAATATGATGGTGTAAGTTTCTGTACATGATAATTTACCTCTTGAGCTATCAATTGCATGAAAACTTCCTTGACATCTTGTTGCATTTTATTAGATTAACCATTCTGGTAAGAATATTTAATTTATAAAATTATTTATTTATTATGAAAATTTCCTTTAGAACAATTTTAAATTAGCTTTGTTTAATTCATACCAACTTCTCTTCATTGTGCTACTTGCCGTCTTCATCAACAAATTATTTGTGTTTACCCCTATCCTTTTTCAATTAAGGAAAATTTGATTTTCCAAGTTATTGTGGTTGAGTTATTTTATCCTTGTAAATACAATCAACTCTGGTTAAGATTCAATGCAGAACTTTTTTTAAGATCTCACTACCAACCTTCATGTTCTTTTCAAACCTTTTTACTAAACCTAAGAGAGACACCTTTTTATGATATCAGTACATTCTTCAGCCGTCAACTGCTATAAAAAGCACACATCCTACTAGAGGTCTATAGGTCTTGATGTATAGCAGTACTAAAAGTATTCCAAACTTGGGCTGTGACCGTGATGACTCTAGACATTTTGGAAAGCATTGGACCTTCAAACATGAACAATCGAGTCGCAACAGCAAACTGAACTTCCTTTCTTTGTGTGTAGTCAGCTCTGGGGAAAACTTTGACCATGGTAACGCAGATCTAGCACGGCACACCGCGTAGTGACACGTCCTTCAGTAGTCATAGATGCTGGTAAGAATATCAAAGTCAAAGACGGAAAGTCCACTTTTCTAGCAAAGGCTCTTTCCTCCTTTTTTTTCTCAATGACCAATTTCTAAATATCCTTGGAAGCGAGGCTACCCCAGAGCCAGAGAATAAAATCCCCCGCGATGTCTTCGCTCAATTTTGGGTTATGACTCGTGTGGAACATACCTGAAACCTATTGAGAAGATGTGTATTTATATTATGATCGTGTATTATTTGTTCCACAACGGAACCTTGATCCGTCAGATGTATTGCACTTCTAGGAAGTACATATCGGTTTTATTTTAGTTGGAATGATAGGTGTCCTTTCCAAACTTTGTCACGCCGAGAATTCAAGCCAACAAAAGAAGATCTGTCTATTTCTATTTCTATGCTGGACCGTTGTTGTTTCCACGAACTCGGGAATCCGGAAATACCAACATGCCCAGCAGTTGAATATCTCAGTGACAATTTTACACACCTGCAAAAACTCCTCACGTTTTCTAAGGACAGCACGGACCGTTTTTCTTTGTCGTCGACAAGTTGACGGCCACCCTGACCCCAAAATAGCGCAGCCATATGCAGCGTCGTCATTCTCGTTCATAGATCACTTACTTCTTTGCCATAAGATATGCACTTTCTTGTTCCTATTTATACCCCGGGGTTTCAGCCGCTTCTGCTCCTACTTGAGTGTTCTACGCCATTCCATTCTTGTGAACATTCTCTTATGTTAAGACAAGGAGGAATGGCTCTACACAAGTTTGGAAGTTTCAAGTGAAGTGCTTGATGGAAAGTCGATGAGATGGCTTTGCGTGATTTCAAATTTCGGTTATTGACAAACTTTACCTTGCTGATGAAAGTAGAATCAGATGATGAGAAACTAGTCATATGAATCATATGTGGACTGAAAGTGATAACCAATTAATAAGACGCAGATCTCATTGCAATAAAATTGTTGATTACTGAAGTTGGAAATTCTTCATGCATGGTGGAGCCAATATCCACAGGCTTGAGTTCTATGAGTAATGATCATCTTCATGAAGAGAGTGCGAGGAGATGCTACCATGAGTGATACGTCATACTAGAAAGTATATGCAATATGTAACGTAGAGAATATGTTAATGTTTAATTTTTTGAGTAAATTATCACTTGTCTTGTAATAGGTTGTGTAATATCTGAGTATCTCAAATATGTCACGATTGGGCTTTTCTACAAATACAAAGAATTTAACTAATGACAGTAAAAAGCTAACCAACTATGGTGATATTTCTATATTATACTATTTCACCGCATTTTGACATCGTTGGATGAATGGACCGCTCACTCGCTTATAAGGCATGAAGCCGCGACGGCAAGCTACAACAATGGCGACATCTGGATACTTCTATAGTGACCGCGGCAATCGTCGCGCTGCTTCTTCCTTCCTTCGAGCCCTTGATAACGGCTGGCGAAATGATCGATGGATTCTTCGGAAATCTGGAGTCCACGAAGAAAGGCAAGCGGAGTAAGCAATGCGAGTGAAGGGAGTGGACTGAGGGAAGGGTCCACCGCCATGATTACGGATTAAAGATGTCCACAGTGCCTAAACAGCCCCAGCTAAACATGGTTGGAGCCGATGGAGTGGATAGGTGGACAACGGAAGAATGTCTAAATGGGTCTCGTCAACTTTTGCTAATTCAGCACCGAGACAGATTGATACTGTTCTCTCAACGAGCACTGGTTGAGTTAGAGTGGCCTCCACCTCCAAAGATTGCCACCGCAATTAGCTAGGCATGACCGAATATGGATAGCTTCACTGTCATGTGAATCGCCATCAATCTCCTCTATCCGAGCTATTGGCAGCGGCAATTGTTTTAAAAGGGCTTGACGTGGCTGCTCAAAACGCCCTCGCTTTGCAAAGGAGACTCCACCCGCCATTCACACGACACGTGTCTTCTCCACTGACGAGTTGCGCCTACCTTCCCAAACAAAGCCATCGCAGTCGACAATTTTACCGAAGTTCAGAACATTAGTAGAAATGCGAACGGAATTACCAATCGCCACAAGAAAGGCATTAACATAACTGGAAATCAGGCGGGACGAACGAAATGAAATTTCATTTTGCATGTCGACATGTGCAGTACACGAGCACATTTACGGCTTTGATGGGCCTTCCCATTCGGTTTGTTATAATACTTTGTACCGGAACGGAGATCGGCAATTTTTTATATCTACCTGTCAAGAGTAGGTAAGATCGCTCTATCTTGACAGGTAGGATTGTACTTCAGGTGCTGCTGCAGCACTACAGGTAAAGAGACAGACAAGCAGCAGCGGAAAAGATTACGAACCACCCCGGTTCGGTAATTCTTGTCACGGACAAGAAAACACGCTCTAACCCTGCTTACGTGCAAACGTAATTGTATTGCTCCCAGTCAGCGTCTGTGAGTGGAGGTCAGGGCTAGAGTCTAGATCCGACCCTGCTGAGCATTCACTGGGGAAGTACAGCATCGTAAAGAGGGCAGCGACCAATGGTTCGGAGCTTTGACCTGACCGCGAGGTGGAGCTGCAGTGGAGACCGTGGAAGGGCGGGCAGCAGATCGCGTGGGTGGGGGTGGGGGGTCCAGTCAACAGAGGAGCGGAGAAGGACAGGTGGACGGAGGAGGACGGAAGAGGACGGAGAAAGAGGGAATCGCCGCAAATATTCGTTCTTTGCTTGGCGACCGAGGGGAGGGTGGGGGGCGGACGGCGGCACCGGTGCCAAGACGGGTAACGTATCAGGAGCGTGGGCGGGTCGGTCCTGATGACAGGATGCCGCCCGCCACTGCGCAGTTCGGGGAATAAGAATTTCGGCCCGTTAGATTCTTCTTCAGGTGGCGCAGAAATTGCACGAGAGGGAGGTGAGGGAGATTCTTGGAGGAGGACGAAGGGATTGGAGATTGGTGAAAAGGGGAGGGTCGTTGGCTACCAGCAGCAGTCGGACTCCGGAGCCCCAACACCAGCCAGCCAGCCAGCCAGCCTGCAATCCAGACAGGCAGGCAAGACGAGCCACTTCGGCCAGACAGGCATCGATCCAGAGCCTGGGCAGAAAAGAAATAGCACTCTGTCATAATTGGAGTTGCATCAAGAAGTAGTAAATAGAGGGCGGGCGTCTTGGTCGGCGGCTGGCTGGTTGGGGTCGCGTTTTTGGAGGTGCAGCAGCAGAAGCAGCAGCACCGGGGACAACACTCCAAGCGCCGTGCAGAATTTGACGACAGAGCTGATCGAGGGGACAACTGCTGAGCGGAGCAATTACGCTTCTTCGCTCTGGGAGCCTCGGGGCCCTCCGTCTTTCTTATTTGCGCTCGCGGTGTGAGGTTTACCTCCACTGCACGCTTGGACAGGATTAGTGTAGGCCGTAGTGAGAAAGCATATTTCACTTGTGGAGGAGATCTCGCTGCTTCTTGTGGCAATTTGTAGTGCGGAAAGCGCAATCCACAAGTGCGGAAGCAGGAAACCTGCGCGGTCGGCGGCTGAAGCAGCTCTCGTTCCAAGGATATCACAAACCTTCTCAATTTGTCGAGCTTACCTCCTCCGGCTTTCAGTAACCCGGGGTTCGAGTCGTCTGAGTGAGGCGCTGTCAGGCGAGAACTCTCGCTTCTTTTCTTGAAAACAGGCAGTTGGTCTGTTCAATCGTCGACATGGAGCTCGACTGGTACTCCAGGGCCACCGTGAGCCCAACGTCTTCCCCATCGACCACCTCCAGATGGAGAACTAACGTCAATGTGGCGGACTTTGAAAAGCAAACATCCAGATGGTTTTCCCTTTTGAACCTGGTAAGCACTCTGGACAGACTTTCGCGATTTCTACAGTCTCCGAGATGTAGACTTTCAGACTCGAATCGGAGGAAGAAACATTGAAAGAAAGTCTTGTTAAGACTAGACAGCCTCTAGAGACGAGCGACGATGTTTACTGATGCTGGTCACTAATTCTCCTCTTCTCTCTTGACAGATGCAGGATAGAGATTTTTTCCGAGGATCTGTTGTCGACGAGTGTCCTTCTCCACGGAGCAACATGTCCTCTCCCAAGCAGAGATCTCCCTCCCCGCCATCGACACAACTCTCACCTCAGTGTGTTCGCTCGCTGACAGGGAAAGGTTCATTGTCGTCGAAGTCTCACGTCTGCTTCGCCTGCGTGCTTCATCACCATGACTAGGTGTGGAAGTCCACGGGGACGATGGCAGTGTGTATGAGTATGTATACTACGACAAGCGGGATTTTTGGACACGAGGTGTAATATAAGTAGGACATTTAAATTGGGATCGGGTCAGAGGTGCCTTAGTGACTCCTTTACTGGGTTTTTTTTCCTTCTGATTTTCAGTTCAGCTTCCTTCTCAACCTGATGCGTGCAGGCAGCTGTGATATATACGGTCTTAGAATTTTCGCGGTTACCATTGATTCAGGGGAACCTTCCTACCAGTAAACGTTGGATTCAAGTCAGGACCACAACAGAGGAACATCTCGAAGGAATCCTGGGGTGGTTCAGATGAGCTTATGAAATGTGTCGGATTCAGTCGAACGGTCTGTTGATCGAGGACACATCAAAGATATCCTTAGAGCGGTTTATCAAGAATCATGCTGAAGAGAAATCTTCAAAAACGCTCGAAGCAATGGTGACCGAAACTTCAAAGTCGGATTTGTTCTAGTGCGGAGGTCATATAGTTCAAGGTTGCAGAAGGCGCCGCACTGATCAACTACGTCAGTCTCATGCTGTCCGTCTGACAGTCAAGTTCAAAGTCTTCCTGCCACAGTGATATTTAGCGGGAGTTCTCGGAGAGCTCCGAAGAGTCAATGTCTGCGCTGCAGCCGGAGAGGATCCAGCTTCGCCAATCTATCTCATCATGTTTGATCCTTTCCATATTATGCTCAAGCTAAAAGCGTTGAGTGCTGCATCGAGTGGTGAAAGCGACCCTCATGTTTCAAGGGTGTTAGACTGCCAACTGTGAGACAAGACGATGCGAGTCGTCGATGCTGCCTGTTAGCAAAGAAAGGAATTTACGGAGCAGTGATTGACTTGCATTTAGAGATATGATTAGCAACTCTGAGCAGGAGTTGCGCCCGGCCTGCCACATTGTTTCATGTGAAAGTGTAACATATCAGCCCGAAGGGTTGGAATTGCCAATAAATGGAACCATTTGTTACCTTTATCTCCGCTAGCTGTTTCCTTTGAAGTTGTAAAACACTGCATCTCGGAGCCTACAACGAAACATGACGAGTCTTATTGATATCTCATGTTGGAGTGTCACTTAAGCAATTGTTCAGATGGCTTATTGTACACATGCGGCATTTTCTCCATTTCACAGCAGGGACTTGCTACAATTGAACGTCTGATGGGCTCAGCCTTGTGAGTCGAGTCCGCGCGAGATCAGTTGCTCACGGGTATCTGATATCACCAATCTGGTCGGGCTTCTCAATAATTCTTGCCCTGTACCAAACAAGAACATCGGATCGCTCAGATCGTGCGCAGAATATAATCTCACCGAATTGTCTCTGTTTCTTTCCAGGATGAGGATGAGACGAGATGGAAGCGGCCAAGGTCCACCTCGATGGCCAATCTCTTCCCCATTTCTCGTATCGACGTTTGTTGCGTAGCGGAAGGGCCCCAGTCCCTCGAAGGACCCTGGCCTGCCCTCGAGCGACAAGTCGTTCCTGTACGGTGGATATTTGTCCTTGTCTGGTTCTTGTAGAGTGGACTGTACACACTGTACCGTAGCGTCCATCCGCGGCTCTTCGCACGGACTGGTCCATGCGAACTTGGACCTCGGTCACAGGACTCAGGACAAGCGCCGATGCTGTTTCGCGGCAATTTGGACCCGTCCGCTCTCCCGGCGAAACGCAAGCCCAGTTGCCCTTTCCCGCCAAATCAGCTTGGTTTGCCGGGAAAGCCTCTGAGAGGGTCCACGGTCGACCATCCGTCAGCCTGAACGAACAAGTCGCAAGTCCGTAAATCATTCACGAAAAGGAACGGAGGCGGGGGGTTTCCAGTGTCCGGAGTGCGTGTGTCTGCTTGTCAGTGTGAGGTATGGTGTGGTGTGCTGTACTATGATTTGCATACCTTGCACATGCGCCATGCCGTCTCGTGAATCGGGCCCACGGGCCAGGCATCGATCTCGGACGTCACGGAATTCTGCCCCACTCTGCCTTCCCGGGCATTGTACAACCCAGAACGCTGCGGTGACGACAAGCAGCAGCAGCAGCAGGCTCGTCAGCTGAGATGCCTGCCTAGTCTACTTGAATGTCTACTGGCCTACCTTTTGTCACGACGACACTTTTTCACGGCATGGCTCCGATTCACTGTCGGCGGACGCCTTCTCTCGGTGGCTTCGTCGCTAAAGTAAGTGGGCTGAGAGCTGAGGGGCTGCGGGGTGCGGCTCAATGAGAGGAGCTAGAGCTGCGTACTCTTTCTGTCCTACGACTGTTCCCATTGTGAGCTATGCAGCCATTCTGCTCCACGTTTCCTGTTCTCAAACATTCGTTGTGTTCTCTAGGAAAAGCTTTTCTGTGGGTGATGTATCCCAAGCTGGCAGTGATGAGGCCCAAATTTTACCAGTAGTAAACCTATGTCGGTCTTAGACCACTCCTTGCAGCAGCAGCAGCAGCAGCAAGCTTTGCAACTTCAGTTTGTGAGTAGAGCTGGCAGAAACTCAAACCTCCCTCAAGAGGAAGGTAATAGTGCATCTGATCTTTGTCAAGTGAATGGATGAAAACTCTATGCAGTAAATTTTTCATCACACAATGTACTCCAGTGATCAGGCTTCCTGCTATCGTAAATCGGCCCCGTCACGCTGGGGCAGTGATACAGGATTTCCGAGGTGCTGGCGTTTGTCGCCGCCGAGGCGGATGGCGTAAACCGCAGGCGTCAGTTCATGTCAGGCTCTGGCAGGAGTCCCAGCAGGACTCCTGCTGGCAGGTAGAGCAGAGTCGTAGACGCTATCACTCATCGGAGCCTCGTCCGCATGGTGGTCAAAAGCGGTGGTCCTCATCATGGGTTTGGGGGGTCTTGGGACACCGCTGCAGTGTTGGTAGTGTTGGCTAGACTGGAGGAATGTCAGCATCGTACTCGTGTGAGTTTCGATACAGCTGGACTCATCTCGGTGGGTCGCTCTTAGGGACTGCATGTGCCGGTCAATTAATTATGAGTGGGTACCCTTTGGGGCTGTCGATCTTCAAACCAAGGGATGAGATAAACTCCTTCATAGTGGGATGCAGGCAGACTGTCGAGAATTGTGTGAGATGGGATATGATATGATGGTTCAAAGCTTGCTGATGAGATTCTGCAAGTCGCTAGTCAGATCCTTGTTCATGTGTAGGGTGATGAAAGATATCCCCATAGTTGAATGTGTGATTATTGCGAGCTGCCCATTCTCTTGAAATTTCTATTTACTATAACTTCAGATAAAATTTTTGAATTTTTTTCTCTCTAACTTCAGATAAAAATTTTGGAGATCGTACGATCATTATGGAGATGATAGCCTAATAAATGAAACGTAACTTGCCTATAAAATTGAAAACCGCAGGCCAAGTAGATTATATTAAGCAAGTGGAAGATCCATTCATGACATGAACGTTTCATTAGTGCATATATTATAATACGTGATACGATCAAAGTCAAATTGATTACAAACAACTCTTAAAAAAAGACTTTAATCCTCGATATAAGTTATAAAAGTAAATAAATTGAGGGTCTAACTTAGTGCATTCTATCTCAAAAACAAGCGAAATCTTTTGACAGAATTACATGTTAAAATAAATAAATGAACTTATATTTAAATGAAACTTCAAGTCGAGTATATGAAAGTATCAAGGAACAAATATTTCTAATCAGAATTCGTTTGCCAGGTGTACACAAAGTACCTTTTGAGCTCCTTTTAGCTTCTTCAAAAAAGCTTCATGTAGCTGCTTGACAACTGCTGCGTCTCTTGCAACATACTCACGTGTCACGTTGTTGTACTTCAACTCATTCATTTGCCGGATGGCACACGCTCTCTAATGCACAACACCTTTCCCAAACCGGGCTTCTCTGTTAGTCCCTGTCTCTTATGTACTTCCTGATCCCAGCGATTGAATTGATAACCCGATGAGACCACACTGATCTTCGCTAACCCTCAAGTACATTGCCTAGTACAATTCCTACGTATTCACTGGTATTGGGAACAAGTAATCTTAATTTGCAACTTCCGGATTTCTGCTCTTAAAGAAGCAAAATAACAAGATTTCTTCGTGACTCACGAGGTGAGATCCCTGGTTAGCCAGACGAACAATTATATCTGTTAGTGATGCTTGGCAATGGATCCAGCATCAAGATTCATAGTTCAGGTGTAGAGTCAAACTAAGACCTCCTTAGTGTTCAGTTTTTTAAGTTAAGGTGTAGATTAGCTAGTGCATAAACTTGGGAAAATTGAAGCATGATATAAGCTCAGCTTCTCTCTATCTATTTATAATATTAAGGTGATAACTTTGATGTATTACGCGCATAATTTAGATTGAAAAAAGATAATTGTGATACTGTTAGTGTATAAATATGTTTTAAGTTGATGTTTGATTTAATAGTGATTTATGTAAGGATGAGATATATTATTTATATATGTATTTATGCATAAACAAGTTGAAATGGTGTGAAATATTTTCCAACTCAAATCTTTGATAATCATTTGTTTGAGATCATTACTATTTTTTAGAATTAAATAATTAATATAATAATATTTTTTTCAAATAATAAGCCTTACAAAAATTTATATGAAAATGATTATGCATCAAATTGCATTGCGGCAAGATAAGAAAACTAAAATGAATTAGCAATTAAAGAAATCTAATATTTGCTCTAAATAATGAAAATATTATGTAGAACTAGCTTTGCATAAGTTGCATGAAAAAAAAATGTATGCTTACAATAAATAGAGGTGTAAAGATTTTTATTAGAAATGACATAAAGGAGATTTATTCAAAGAACCCAAATAACAAACCAACTCATATACATGAAAAATGATGTTATTGATTAATTTCATTAGATAATGAAATATTCATTGCTTAAACTAAGTCCAAAAGTTAACTTAGTGGCAAGTTGATAATCAAAAATTTTCAAATTATTTATTAGTATGTTACCATCTCAACTCAATTTAGTAACAAAGAAATTTTTAAAAGACTTATATAGATCAGTGATATATTATTATATGATATTGTTCATGACATTTAATCATACCTTCCAAGATTATCATTGTAACTTGTTTAAAAGTAAAAATAGAGAGTTACATTAAAAATTCTAAAGCAAATTTGCAGAGATTGTTGTATGAGCATTCATCTCATCAATGAAAGATTTAGATTTAGTATATTTTTTTGAGTGTCAATAAAAACTTGTTGAATGATCAATGATGATTTCCAAACATGTACAAGCGGATGAAATCAAATCTTATTAATTCATGATGAGCTGTCAAAAGCAATCTAACATAAATATTTATGAGAGTTAGCTCGGATATCACATTCTCTATTTATCGTGGATATTGTATGTGATCTATCTTCAACGGTTCACACTAAGATCTATTAGAGCAGATGCAGACTATGTGGCGATTCTGATTCTTCTCTAGTTAGACTGGCTTGCACTTGCAGCATAGAAAAAACTCCAATTCAAGAAGAGTAGATGAGACTATTCCGACTTCTTCTCCTTATTCATAATATCATTGCAAGAATTGGTTCATGTAGTTAGTTGAAAACAAAAACAAAGCTCCAATCTTTGATATAAGGAGCTGCAACTTCACATTTTAAAGTCACAAATCACCATCGTCAAATAGATCTAGCATCAAAATCAAAATATACTTCTTCTCTTCTATGAATGCAAAAGATTGTTGCCCTCCCTTATTCTCTTGCACATTTTTTCTTCTATCCGAGCATGCTTTGTGATTTCGACGCCTGTCAAGCTGTTTGCGAGCCTAATATTGCAAATTGCTAGCCATTTGTGAGTCAAACATTGCCTCTTCAGCGGCCAAAGTTTTTCCCCTACTTAATTGAGCTCCAAACCAAAAAACATGTCAGTGTTTTGAAACCTATTGTTGAAACTGTTAAATCTAAAAAACACATAGTCACATGCTCACATAGACGTAATGTACATTGGAGAGTCATCTACATCTCAGTATTTAATAAAAAATCCTTAAAATTTATCAGAAAGAGCTTTTGTGAACTTCCTTGTATAGTGAAGGTTGTAGAATTTACCTAAACCTTAACCCAGTTAACTTGATTTACCAAAAGACATGAATTAACTCCAAACATGTACATGAGTTAGATTTGGTATTGAAGAAGTTTATGATGCAATATATCTCAATCTTGATTAAGATCAACAATATTACAACCAATAAAGCTTGTCACATGAACTTTGATTGACATCTTTCTTTTGTAATTTTTAAAATTGATTGATCATTCAATCTATTAGATTTTACTTGAATACTATATAATTCATTTTTGTATGTAAATTTTATATTGTATGTGTTGTAGAAATAAAGCTGATTGAATCAAACAAAAATTTTTATCATAACTTTCAACAGCAAATATACATAGTGAATTAACAAGAGTAAACCCATCTAAATCTGCAAAAAAATATTTATATGAAAATTCTATATATTTTTTTTCCTCTAATGTTCAAACTATCTAGTAAAATCACAAAATATTAATTTGACAAATCAGATTATTGCAGTATAAAAAATATGTTCAAAAAAGTTTCTTAGAAAAAGTTGAGACTATTATGACTATTGATTGAAGTTCTATAAATTTACAATCAATTGATAAACATGGTAAAAACTCTTCATCATTGTCATCAGCAAGATATTATTCAAAACTTGTTATATCACTTTGCCAACTTGCCTATAGAAAGCTCAAGCATCTTGATTTTAAGATTAATTTCACATATCATTCATCTTATAACAGGTTTTAAAATCAAACAAATCATTGTTAAAAGCATGTATGAACTCATTACTGATAATACATTTTGAAAACTTTTATGCAAGCACTTAATATGAAATCATATCATGAATATCTTCTTTTTTTTGGAATTTAAGATATTTTGCACTATTTATTTGAAGTGCACATATTTAGAACATTTTATTCCTGATGCATGATCATACCAAAAATGAATAACCTACCTATGATATTCAATTGTCATTTCAACATGCTTTGCATTCATTTTCATACTAAGAGTAAATAATTTTGTGTTGAATTATGCTATTGCTTTGTGAATCTTGATTTCAATCATATATCAAGCATTTAGCATCTACTTCAATAACTAATTTCATATTAGTTTAGCTTCTTTTTCTTCTTCTTTTTTGAAACAAATGGTGAGATTCCATTGCAAAATGAGAGTTACACCATTGCAAAACTTGGACCTTAGTAGCAGGCCGGCGAGTAGCACTTCTTGGATTTTTTACACCTAATAGTACCTGAACTTAAAAACAACCTAAAAAACATCGGCAGCGATCCCCAAACTTTATGCCAGGGTTGAGTCCCATCATTGAAATCTTCTGCGCTTGGGGGATCGATGCTGCCACGTGATATTACCATCAACTTTCACACAGAATACCTCTGTAGGCCCCCACACTCTTGCAAACGAAAGTACCCGTCGTAATTGTCGAATTGCTTCCTCCGGAGGTCGTGAACTGGATTCACTGAGGAGCTGGTTGATGAGCACGCTGCCAAGACATTTGTGCAATGTCAAGGATTTTGTCCCATATGATGTCGTCTAAACGAGCCTGCGTCCACCGATCATCAGAGAACACATGGGCATTTCGCCAAATCCAAACACACCAAATTATTACACCTTGCATCAGAGCCCATAGATCGGCCACATGCGAAAGATGATTCGGGAGAGGCAGCCCCAGGAGTTATTGAGCCCACTCCAGTCTGATCCACGGTAGTGCCCCTAAAGACATCCCTGCAGCATGGTACAACACGGAAATGACAAAGTCCCACGCAAATGAGGCAGCTTCATAGTCTTAAAAGCAATGTTTGAGCGACTCTAGAACACCTGCAGAGCAACATACACATTGAGCCGATGTGGGATTATGGCCGTGATGACGCCATTCGTTTACAGCGATGGCTTTATGAAGCAGGCTCCACATAAAACATGCTTTCTTACGTGGCCGGTCGTTTCTCCATATTTCTTCCCAGTTCGGGACGAACGTCGGGGGCACATGGGCCCGACCACTTCGCTGCAATTGGCAGGCTCAAGGAAAGCCTCGCGTTCCGCAAGTCTCTGCCTTTTTTGCGGTGTAGCTGAAAAAACCTTCTCCCGGACGCCATTCCCATCTTCCAGGGTCGAAGGTGAGGCAATCAATCGGTGCAAGATACCTGAGTATGAGGACAGTCTTGGTGCGATGTCGGGGAGTAAGCACAATGATTCTAACTCTACGCAGTAACCCATGTAGTGGCCGGCCCTCAGGACCATGTGCGGGCTGAGCAATAAGGGCTTGGGAGTGCATGCTCACATGAAATACTCGGGTGGAGGCTGCTATGAGAATATCAATCGAGGATGATGAGACTAACGGTTGAAAGTCAATTGTAGCTTGGAAGCTGGGTGCCATTTGGGAAAATTCCCACCCTCCTTTGACTGCTGTGGCTTGATCGTGAGCAACTGGTGCCACACTGCAGGGATACAATTATGGTAGAGCTGAATCGTCCGACGTTCATCATCTCGCAACCCAAATTCTTGTTGTAGCATTTTCCATGACTTGGAGAGTGAGGTTTTTGGCTGCCACAAATCCCTCACACACTAGAGTCCAACTACTGCTAGTTCCCACACTCGCGCTTCTGTGAATCCAAACGCAGCTCCAAGAAAATGAGTTGTCCACCAGAGTTGAGTGTTACCAACCTCCTCAAAGTTCCGTGGGTGTATTGCATAGACCTGCAGGCTTAGGGACCTCCATGCCTGCACGAGGCGGTTCCACACTCTCGAACCAGTAGTTGTAGAAAACTTGGCCAGTAGCGTCCAGTGAAGGCTTGGTGGCCAGCCTCGATTCCCAGGTGGTTGAACCTGTAGCAGACGATTACGAAGGAAAATCTGGAAGAAGGAGCTGCTCGGCTCCATTGCCTTCACGATCCATTTCCCCATAAGGGCGATAAGGGACTCATTTGCGTCGACGATGCATAATCCCCCAACTTCCTTGCTTGCGCAGCAGTCGTTCCACCTTACGGGATCTGGTGCGCACTTCAATACCCTTCCATAAAAAGTTTCAAAGTGTGGTGCCAATGGCTCGTAAAATCTTTTTGGAACCTCCGCAAAAAGTACCACAATGTAGAGAGTAGCACTGAGTTGATTATCACGGCCAAGGACAGATGTAATGAAGACCAGTGCGTTGGCTTCTTCAAAATCTTGCCCTGAGGCATTGCCTTGTATTGAAACATTCATCTGCATTTGTGTTATCCAAGAGTAATATTATTTTGAATTCGACACATGTTTATTGATATGTAATTCATTTGATAAGATTATATTTATCTGATGTCATTAGAAATAACATATTTGATATAGAATATGGAAAACAGAAGTTTAGATGAAAGTTAATATATCTTGCAAGATAAGAATATATCTGAACTCGATGATTCAGAGCTATCATGTAAAATATATGGTTCTAAAAGTTGCCCTCCCAACAACATTACTGTACGCAAAATTTTCAAAACATGTTTACATAGAATAAAGTTTCTTGATATTTTCAAGTATACACTGATTTTAAGATATCGCATTGTTATTACTTAGGAATTGAATTCATATCGATTTTCACTTCGATATAGTTACGCAAGGTTATTTAAGCAATTATACTTCTTTATAACCTCACAAGTTTCATCATTACGTTACTTATTTATATATCTTTACCACTCTACTCCTAGATAGACACCAATACCAAGAGCATTCAAGCAGACATCATTTGATATCGTCATATTACGATTGTTGTCATATTATATGTATTTGCTAATCTAAGAAATATTCTCGATTGAAAATAATACCAAAATGGCCCATCGGAGTATCTTATTCTCATGGACACTGTATCCTTCGACTACGTACACGATATAGTTTAGATCACACTGAAGCAATCTGAGCTTTTCCACCAATTGTGAAAATACAGGGGACGGATAGACATAGAGACGAGGTTGACTCACGATGCAAAAACAAGTATGCAAGTGGAGGAGACACGAGACAAGAGGCACCGCGGATGGATGGAAATGAATTTTTCACCACCAAAATTCTCACTCTTATTTACAGCACATGATGAGACGTTAAATTGTGGCAGGCGGCAGCTTGTACTGAACTGTTATGAATCTAACCCCCGGAAGATTAGGGTCGAAATCTCCTGAATTCTCTATAGCCACAAATGGGCATTCTCTGAGGCCGGTGTGTCTTCTCCCTAGACCTTGCTTGCCCTGCCCAAATTGGACGGCATACTGTACTCCAGATCTGATAACTCTTCGACTAAATCTGCAGCCAACTTCAGCTCCAAGCTCCTTGGCGTACAGAATAGAAATAATCTTCAATACGCTACAACGGCAATCTAACTGAGTTTCAAGCATTAGCAGCATCTAGAGGCTCTACATCTTGAAAAGTAATATGATAATGGCAAAAATCTTATGATTACACGTTCCTTGCTAGAGGAATCTTGACGAAGAGAATGGCCCACAGGTACGAGGTGAAGGGCCGTGTTGCACACTTGAACACGTCATCAGAGAGGAAGTTCGTAATCGTTTTCCAACTTGACCTGATGCAGGGACTAATTTTCAACACCCGAATAAGTTCTATGCCTTTATTTCCATTTTTAATTTATCGCTTCACATATTTCGTGTCACGTCGTAGCACCAACCGTCGATGCTCTTGTTGCGATCTGAGGGGCACCTTCTGTGTCCTGGCCAGCCGGTGCTCGCGGAGGTTCAGGCGAGGGCAAATTCGTACTCTGCAATATTCATAACAAAATGACTCAGTTACCAAGCCTGAAAGAGAACAATCTTGACGCATCTGACCATGGCTGGACATGGTTTAAAGTAACATATACTCAGAAACATGTAACTTTCATGTGACAGAAAAACATTCCCATCAATTTACACCTCTGCAACTGTTCAAGCCTGGACAGGAAGACGGACGAACCTGCAAAGTTGCAGTGTGAATGTTTATAGTCGTGCTTTGATCCGCAGCAAAGTCATCCATATTTGATTCCTCCTCCATCCTACGAATGTTTCTTCTTATGACTCGCTCGTGCCAGCATTCCAGAACGAGTCTAGCAGCTGTGCCGAGCCCCAGCACCACTAACACACCTGTAACACAAAAGACCACAAACCTCCACCATCAGGCCTCCTACACCCTACTTTGCGTCTAGAGCATTTCACATATACTTCCGAGTACACATATTATCGTCCATCACGATATCATTCAAAGTACAGATCCTGCGAAACGAGAAGCTTCGAGTTAACAATTGAGCTTTCTAGGATAAACAGCACGAAAAGCTTCTCATCCTTATCTACAATGAAGGACAAAAAAGCTTGGGCTTGGAAACTATCCAGACTAAATATTGCTCTGTTTATATGTATGAACAAACTAAATGTTGCTAATGATCTCATATGCCATATTCAGCTTGGGCTCTAACTTATAACATCATTCAAGCTAGTATGCATAACAGACAGATTTACGAATCTCGGCTTTTGAGCATGCAACGGTTACTAAAGAAAATAAAATATCAGAAAAGTCGATATCATACACATCATGTAAACCAGGAGAGTTTCAAACTTGACATCTGCATCAAAGGTGAACCGAAGCAAATCTACACTCCGTACCTGGCGTGCTTCACATGGAACACGCCAAACACGGAGAACAAATGAGTCATTAGGTGATTTGAACGCCTAGAGGTGGAACCCAAAAATGGAACATATACGATAGAGCGAAGGGAACTGACGAGGTCCACGTCCCTAGCTACACAAACCCAAAGAAAAAAAACTCGAAATTGCAAGGCCATGTCAGCCTTGGTGACATGAAGGAGCAATAGAAGTTCAGAAAGTACCAATGATAATATTAACAGGCAGAGCAGATGCTCCAAGGAAAATGGAGATGAGGACATCAAACAACAGCCCCGCGATCAGGATCAGCAGCGCCGCCCAAAGAGGGTGAAACCGAGCCTAGCCAAAACAACAACACAACAGACCAACAGCGCAGATTCATTACGAGGAGCTCCGAAGAAAAGCCACTGTGCTCTAGAGCTTACCAAAAAGAAAGCCAATAGGCATGGCAGCATATCCAATTGAAGCTGAGTCGGTGACATCCACGAAGAGGTACGCCATGAAAGCAAATAAAAGCAGCCAGAGCAGCATAATAGTAGGATGCCGCCTTAAGGTCATAAGCAGCACAGGTCGTATAGGCAGCGGATTGAGACGTAGTGGCCCTACCCCTCCAGTTCGCCTCTGGGTTCCACCATTATTATAGTTTCCTCCTCCAACTCTCCAGACCCAAAAGTGAGGCTGCAATGGCCACTTGTACGACAATTCAGTTTCACTTATACAAACCTTCTTCTAAATATGCTTGCCATCAGCTTCTCAGAACCATTGACCTAAGTCTCACCAAGCTAACGAATGCACAAAAAGTTTCACTTGTCCTCTGTTACGCACACTCTATTTCCAAGATCTGAACATACGGAAGTCAGCAGTATCATTTCGATGATCAAAGCCAAAAACAGTTGCAGGCACTTCGAGTAGGGTCTTGGAAGAGGAACCCCACCCTTACCGTCGGCTGTGATGATGGAGCAGGAACGTTAGTCGCCACATGCCTGCAATACAACAGCAAACGTTATATGCATTCTTATACATTCAATTCCTCCAGGCGAAAGAATAAGATATTGTCATAGACTTCACGGACTATTTCATCCCATTACCAACCGGGCAGAGATAAAAGAAAAAGCTACCAGTGATAATCACAGATGGCTTCACTCGAGTGATAAGATCACCTCGCAATTAAGAACTTCAGCGTACAAACTACCAAAAACTACTCAAAAGCTAAGCTTCAACCTAAAACACTGAAAGGAGATGAGAGAGAAGAACACGCACTGGCACACTTCGCATTTGTTTGTGCCCTTGTTTCCAAACCACTGTTCGATACATGATCGATGAGCTTTCGCTAGCTCCCCTCGACAATGACAGCCCAATTCCATTACAGGTTCGTCTGAATGTTGCTGACATATTCTGCATCAGATCGGACGAGGCACTGCTGAGCTGAAGACTAAATACCAGAAAACAATTATGTCGACGCACATACGATGAAGACAAACTTCATGGTGCACTCTGATTTATATCGTATAAGAGACAGCCGTCTAGCATTCCAATAATCACTGGATGAAGTATTAGAGAGAAGCACTCATGAACAGGGCCAAATGCTCTTCATCCACTACGTACAGAATTCTTTTTTGCTGTTCTGAATTTCATTAACTTATATTTTGTAATTATCTCGGGGCAGACGAACTAAACTTCTCACGTTAGTACGTCAACGTTTTGACAGCTCATGCAATGACATCGAGTTGCCATCCACAATCTTCGTGTCTTTGACCTCTTCAGGGTGTTGAAGCAAACAAATCTGAATGAGAAATATAGAAGTTTTATAACTAGTCCAGTTAAAGATGATATGGAGATACTATTTTAGGAAAAATTGGACAAGTAGAATATTAACAATTTCCATAAAAAGTTTTACTGTCAGAGGCGTGCCATGACAAGCTAAGAAGTTCAATTTTCCACAGATCTCGTTAATGTTCGGCGCTTGATAAGGAGATACGATAGGCCCTCATACACTTCACGTGAAGGGCAATGGAATTCTAAGATACATGACTTTTGAATGAATTTTGTGCCTACAAGTAGTATTGGCTTTGCCGTACAGGGAGAATTAGCACCGGAAGGGGCGATCGTCCTTACAATAAAAGAAAAACTAAACCTTTTGTTATTCTACTCACCAAGAACGGACTTGCAGTGCTATTATCAAAAGCCACATGAACTCTTTGCATAAGAAGATGAGGGCTTCATCAGTAAAATTAGGTTGGAACAAAATAACTGAAGGAATAAAAAGAACAAAGGCAAGCAACAAACAGAAGCTACAGAGGGCCATTAAAAAAATGTTCTCAAGGAGAACATTGAGAAGATGAGGGAGCTATGGTTCTACGTATTGCTCGTACTTGTCGGACAGCATTTTGGTTCCAAAGTGTCCAACAAAAACAAAGTTCATAGCCCTTCAAACAAAATTCCAAAACTCCTCCTACAATATCTATCCTGGGTTACGTTTGTGACTCAATTCAAACGGCATCAAGAAATCGATTGCATTGGAAGAGAAAGATTTACCAACTAAAATATAGGTACTAACAAATTCAGCCAAAAAATTTGTATTTAAAAACAGATCGTCTCAGCATACTACTACGCATCTTCTCCAACACTCTTTGGTTATTAGTGAGAGGTTCTACCAGACGGTTTGGTTCAACCTCTCAGAAACAACGTAACGCTGCAAAGTAAAATATTAGTCGTAGTGATATGACAAGTGATCCCCTCCTCTTTGCAGTTACTTCTTAACTCTTCAAAAGTACACTCCCGTCATTATCCATATATCCATATCCATATATATATAGTTGATATCTCACCTTGTGACCAGTCCTCAACTTGGGCTTACTTAACATTTGGATTTTATATCCAAAGTTTCAACTTGGGCTTAATTACCTTTTGGATAATATATCCAAAGGTCGTTACACTCTCCCAGAGAGAGAGAGCACAGCAAAATGGGGAAAGAAAAATAAAATAAAAAATTAACCAACAGGACGAGTCCTCCGCGCCTCTCACTCTTCACACCCCCGGACAATTTAGATGTACAGATGGCCTTGGACACACATCATTACTTTTCACCCATTATTGATAATCCTGATTATACAAATTCTCAAAATATTATACACTACCAATCGCGTAAGATGGATGTCTAGTTTCGTTGATTCCAGGTGAAATTTCCTACCACCAATGACTCAGATATTCATATATCAAAGTGATAGTTAATTCCAGGCTGTCAAGACAAAAAAATAAAATAGTTGATGGTCTAGCCAATTGACAAACTACTATGCCTCCCTTAGCAACAGGTACAATTCATGACCTTAAAAAAATAGACAAGAACATGTAAAGAGTTTACTACCAGTCATGATCCATCCCATCACCTCTGTGATATCAAAGTTCTTGGCTTCAGTGTCCACTCAACTTACAATGGTACATTCAGCACTTAAAAATAAAATTAATGAATTTTGTATTCTTGGATTTCCGTTATGAGTGCTTCAATAAATATATCCACAGATATAGGGTGTGCTTAATTGCAAAGCTTAGCATTAGGAACTATAATAAAACCTACTATTTATCCAGCCAAACCAGAAAGGCTTATGACAGATCCCAAGGACTAAGGATTTAAAAACCACAGCCTCAACTGAACAATTAAACTATCCCAAGATCTCAAGTGCATATCCTGAAAATCTAACAACTCAAAATAAAACCACAAAAACACATAAACAAAAGAATTTCTTGCCTCTTTTCATTTTCTATCCGAAAACGTTTATCATCTTTTTTCTTGTCCTAATCTCTCTTTGTCAAAAAGGTAATTTCAAATACTGGTGTACTCACAACTCTGATAAAATAAGAGCTACTATAAGATTAATATTGAATTTTTTCCTCACTTGATTATCAAAATATTTTTTTCTGTTCTTGTTCTCTTCTCAGTATGTTATGTACACATTTCAAGAAGTCTCAAAGTGGAGGCGGGTAAGGCTTAAATTGCCGTGAGAAATGAGACCGGGCTGAACGACCAATTATTGAGCATCACATTTCTATCATGCACCTCTGAAACATCATCGGTGTGGACAGAGGTTCATACGTTGGTGCCTGCAGAGGCCGGAGGTAGCACTGCAGTTTGCATCCAACGGATACAAATGCAGGCTCACATGCCCGGCCAGATTATCCCAGGAAAGAGAAATCTACAATCGCTTACTACAGGCAAATATTGCGTAACGTAGCTATTGCGTAATGAACGGAACCAAGGTCGCTCCAGCCTAGAGGTGGAAAATGAAACGGATACTAACTGTTTTACTCCAATAGTTCTGAATGAATAAACAGATTGTACGGCCATAAGTTGAAATATCAGCCCTCGAAAGTACTGAGTGATAAAAATGCCACTGTGGACCGCACAAACACGGCGTAAGGAAGAAACTCTAGATAAATGAAAGTGGTTGTTTACGTTAGACAAGGGAAAATAGAAAGAAAGAACTGCCACAGCGCAATCTTACAGCTAATAATTCACTTACAAATATTTTTGTGAAGAGAAAAAATTCACAGCGAAAAAAATCTCTATTTACTCGGTCTTTTTAAAAAAACCAAAAAAGTTCTGAATCTGTTTCACACTAAATCCATATTCTTTCAAGTTCGTAGTGTATCAATTACTAAGCTTCGACACGAGTATTTATATCCTTCATAGATTAACGACCAGGCATTTGTCCACAAACAAATTGACTCAACTGTTGAAAATTTTCCCTTATCTAATGGTTGTTCAAAATGACTCAACCGTTGAAAGCGTATCTGTACTCATTCGAATTTTCCTCTCATATACAACGGCTCGGCTGAGAGTTAAGTAACAACAAGGAAAGAAGAACTTTGGGGAGTACCGGGCAAAAGGAGGAAACTGAGGAGTCCTGAGGATTACATGATCAATATTCTAGAGGACTACATGATATTTCAGAGTAGTCCTCGTGAATACTGATACTAGTTCGGAAAGTTCAATTTCGATCAAACCACCCGTTCATTAATATTTATAAAAACCCGCAGAAGCTGTTAGCCCAAAAATCCGCTGCTTCGGCTTTGAATCAAGACTGCTGATGGTATTGAATCTAAAACACTCATTGAATCAGCAGTTTGAGCTCAGAAACAGTTTGAGTTTGATTTTTTGATGGAAGTAGCTCAGCCTACTGAATCATAGTTCACTGAGCTACTTCCATCAAAAAATGAACCCCATTTATACTCATGATAGAATATTCGGCGATGGTTTCCAATCTTTTTCTTCTGATTGAGAGACGACCCCAATCGGAACAAGGGCTTCAAGCGCGTCCCAGACAAGGAACACCCTAGGGGAAATGTTCGTGAAAAGTACAGTGATGTGTAATGACCCCATCCAGAGTAAGAACATTTAGGCACTATCACTTCAGGGAACCCTGAGAATATTATTCGTGTAAAGGAGAGGGATAAACCCATCCCGAGCGAGGACTTTCGGCACATCCAACCCAAGGATTTCCTTGGAATCATGCTCGTTTGCTTGAGAGGGATGACCCCATCCGGAAGAAGGTCTTCAGGCACATTCACACAGGAAACGTACAGGGAATCATGTTCGTGTAATTGAGAGGGGTATCCCCATCCGGAACAAGGACATCATGCACATACCACGCAAGGAACACCCTGGGAGTAATATTCGTGCATTTGAGGGGGATGACCCCATCCAGAGCAAGAACTTCAGACACTACCCTTTCAAGGCACACCCCGGAAATAATATTGGTATGATTGGGAGGGATAATTCATCCCGAGCGAGGACTTTTGGTATATCCCACACAAGGAACACACTGGGAATCAAGTTCGTGTCATTCAAAGGGATGTCTCCATCCGGTGCGAGGACTTCAGGCACATGCCACACAAGGAGCACCCTGGGAGTACTATTCATATAATTGAGAGGGATGATCCCATCCGGAACAAGGACTTCAGGCACTAAAGATTTGAGGAACACCCTGGGAATAATATTCGTTTGAATTAGAGGGATGAACCCGTCCCGAACAAGGGCTTTAGGCACGTTCCACACAAGAACAACGTTAGAGTCGTGTTTGTGTGATTGAAAGGGTGACCCTATCCACAACAAGGACTTCAGGCACATCCCACACACGAAACACCCTGGGAGTACTGTTCGTGTAATCGAGAGGGATGACCCCATCCCAAGCAGGAACTTCAGGCACTGCCCATTCAAGGAGCGCCCTGAGTACCCTTCTCGTGTGATTTGAGGGATGAACCCATCCCGAGCAGGGACTTTTGGTATGTCCCACACAAGGAACAGCGGGGTTCATGTCCGTGTGATTGAAGGGATGACCCCATCCGGAACAAGGACTTCAGGAACATCCCACACAAGGAACAAAATGGGGATCATACTCGTATGATTGAGAGTGATGACCCCATTTGGTGCAAGGAATTCAGGCACGTCCCACACAAGAAACACACTGTGAATCATGTTCGTGTGATTGGAAGGATGACAAAAAAGAGTAAGGACTTTAGGCACATCCCCACAAGGAACAACATGGGAGTCATGTTCGTGTGTATCAGAGGGGTGTCCCGATCCGGAACAAGGACTTCAGGCTCTTCCACACAGAACAACCTGGGAGTAATGTTCGTGCAATCGAGAGGGATGACCCCATCCAAAGCAGGAACTATGGGCACTATCCATTCAAGGAACACCCTGGGAATAATAGTCGTGTGATTGAGAGGTATGAACCCATCCCGAGCAAGGACTTTCGGCACATCCCACACAAGGAACACAATGGGAATCATGTTCGTGTAATTGAGATGGGTGAACCTATCAGGAACAAGAACTTTAGGCACGCCCCAAACAAGGAGCCAAAAGGAACGCCCTCCAAATGGAGTTCAAAGATGACCGGGTTGATCTGGAATAAAATTTGAAAGGATAGATTCAAGGTCCAGCGGGGTTAGAAAAAGGTCTTACTTGTGGCTTACTCGGTACTTGGTACCTGTCAGATATCTGAGATTGACAAACAATTTCCTGCCACTCAGGTTTCAGAGATGATGCCTCCATCTGCCATCGCTGTGAGACCAAGGACTATCTTCCTGCCTTTGCTAAGGCCTATACATGAGACAACCGATGTAGCAAGTCTCCCTTGCTTTCTCTGGTCCATACAGCATCCAGCAAAGTTCCGAGATACCGTTTTAAGTCACAAAGCCTGCAGCTACCTTCTCGTCTTAAATTTGGCACTCTATCTAGGCACTTCAACCAAGGTCACGCCCATACATAAAAACACTAAAACATAAAACACTAAAACATACGGAAGTGTGGAGGATATGAGGCAGCGTTAGACTAATCCCTGGTCAATATCAAGGTATCACTCCCTTTGCAACACCACTCTTGGAATCGTGGTATGACTTACTTACGAATGTCCCACTTTACTTCGAGTGCCACCCTTCTATGAGGCGTCCCTAAGCCCATCCCTCCAGACGGTGTGACATGCTGTTTTCAGATCCAAGAAAATGTAAGGTATATTTACCCTCTGTCTTGCCAGATTATCCTGCTGGATGAAGGTATGATCAACAAAATTGTCCGGACCCAGCCTGTTTCCACAGATCACAACTTGTACTTTGGTATACTGTAACTTCCTGGTGTCCAAGCCAAGACAGGAACTATCCCGGCTACACTTGAAGTGTGACATCTTCATATGTATCTTTGTCCTCTCGTTCGTCTTTAGGACAGGTTATTTAAGACATTGATGCCTAGCCACTAGGGGAGGGGAATGACAAGTGCTCCCCAAATCTCAATATATATATAGTGACTGGTAAGCAGACCATTGTTAGTACTCAGAACACCTCCAATTCAGCAGGTTGATACGTAACTGAAACAACCCATCACAATGTCTGGCTGGGAATGAGCGCTGGTACTCCTTGTCCCATTTTACTGTCTTCCTCAAGGGCATCCAGGGTGATGCAAGTACGTCCAAATGACTTTCACATTCTAGGTATAGCAATTAAAGGAGCTACTCAAGCGGTTAATGCGCTGGAAGAGGCGTAATTTGAACCTCACTGAGAGTTGTCAACTATATTTCTCCGACATTTCCTGGATTATTAACCAGGAATGACTTTCAATTACCTGCAATGGTCATTGCCAACCTGACATAACCGTGTGCATGTCCGACGAGTCCTACTAATCTTATTCCTGAGCACTCCAACAGAAATCAATGAACAAATCCACGACGATGCATACTGCCCAGTTAGAGTCATTACAGCAAACCAAAAAGCTTGCACGATATATTTAAGTGAAAAAGCTCTTAGGAATTAAAGAGCTGTAACACCTCTTCCATTTCTTCATAAAAAGTCTGTAATTGTTTACCATACCGAAGTGAAGGCCTTAATGCACATGTAAATACACAGCATATGCGATAGGTCTTGTATGGCACAGCCAGGATAAATGACCTGATCCGTACAATATCCGTACGGAACTAGGTAACCTGTGAAGCAATACGTAACTGGTTGCCAGGGTCAGGTGTTGATCCTTATGACCTTGATCACACACAGCTTGTCCTCGAAGTCCATCGGAAAGTCATTGCAGTTCTCTAAGCAGTATCTTGCATCCACAAGAGAAGTAGAGACTGTGCAAGCAGATTCATGGGTTCTCAAAAAGCTCACGGGCTTGTGTCTTACTGGCTGCTACGAAGCACGAGGCCTCTAAACTAAAGCGGTGCTCTTATGAATTGCATCCGCGGGGACATCGGAGTGACTGAACTGATGATCGAAGGTAAGAGACTGTTATTGCAACAACCAGTTGACCATCGAATTACAACTTGACAGGGTCAGCTGACTGCCGCATTTCCTTCTTCAGCCGCAACCAGTATTACAAATAATTGGAGAACACAAACGTAGTTTACTTCGTTCTTCATGCTTAAATACGACGGCCGTTATCATGGTAGTATATATGTGTATGATGTTTCCGATGCAAGATCACAACCGTTCAGCTACGTGCATACTCAGTACAGCTCAACCAGAACTGTGATGGCACTCCAAAGCCGGAGAGACTAGAACATACCGGCAAAGGTCACCCGTCGCACTTTCAACGCTGAAATTGCTGGTGGTTCGGGGGATTGGGAATCCTTTGTAGCCATCCAATTCCTGTACTTTCACACTATCCTTAACTGGGACATCAATGACATGACTATCTGTTTTCTTCGAGATGATAGCAGGCGCCTCGGCTGCATTTACCGTCGCCAAGGGAGGAATTGGACCTTGCGTTGATCCAACTTCTTCTGCAGCCACAGATATGGGAATACCCTCTGCGGGGATAGGATCTAGTATATACCGAGTTTCATCGCTTCCTGCTACTTGAGAAGCACCCAAGCTCTCATTTACACGACTAGAATCCGCATCTACAACTTGAGGTCCTGTCTCCCCAGAGCGTTGATCCCTTGGCGATGACGGACCAGGGTCATGTACTTGCTGACTAGGCATTTTCTCACCCCTATCTAAATCTATATCTACATTCCGGTCACTGAATCCAGCCCCGTTCTCCACGCATTCTATCTCCTGCGAGTTTTTAACATCACTGCGGTTCGTTACACGCAGACCAGAGTCCTCGCTACTGGATGAAGGTTGCATTTCCTCCAAGTTTCCTCTTGCTAACCTTTCGGCCTCCGGTACTTCCATCACAAGACACTAGTTCCAATATTTACGCCTGCGAATCAACCGCAGTTCCCTTCATGTTGCATGTAAAGGAAACCGTCGGTTAGTTTCGAGTGGGTGGCAACTCGCTTCGAAAATCATGAGCAGTAGAATACCAAGCAGTCCAACCCATCGATGTCCGAGGGATACACAGGAAAACCGTCCCTGCCTACGAGGCAACATCACAATCCATCTTCGGTGCAAGGATGTCTTCGAGAAACGAATCGCACCTGCACAGAGACAAGACAAGCCGCAGTTAGTACAGCGAGCAAATCTGGCTCCCGATCCGACCGTGAATACCCGAGTCAGAAGTTAGGCAAGACATTCAACCAGTTCTGACATGCCGGGACCAAATTCGAGTCGACGAACGTACTCGTAATCTCATGACCACACGAAAATCGTAAAATATTTCGCCTGAAACAGACGAGGGAGATTGCCCATCAGCTGCTCATGTGTATCAAACCTGAAGGGCATGCACGAGGGCCTGCCATACAAGATAGCAACGCCAGGAGCCCTTGACTCTCAGGAACCGCAGGCTTGAGAATTGACAGGGCGAATATTACCCCGACGGCCCAATCTTCACGACAAAAATTAAAAATATTCCATTTTGGACGGTACACTGTTCATGATGCATGGTTCATGTGAAGCGTTAAAAGGCAACACACGCCAAGAAGTGAGTTGACCAAAATTTCCGCGAAGAGACGAAAAATCCCTTCTATTCCGCTCAGGCTGAGTGAGAACCGGTGCGACATGGCAATATCGGAAGGCCCTATCAAATTTACCCGTCTTGTCCGTCGCTCAACAAGGTGTTGTAGAAACTTACTCGCTTCAATTACGTCCAGTGTCGCAATTCTATACGGCTGCAATCGTCGTCTTAGCGAAGTGTGTGAACAGTCAGTGACAACAAATCAAGCTCTGCCAGCCCTCTGCCTTTGAACACTGCAACTCGGCAGTGAAGCGCGCTGGAAAAAAACATCACATACGGCCGGATAGGAGATGAGTAAGCAGTTCAGTCGTTAGTAGAGGGCTTCGTCTACAAGCTCTAACTCCTCAACGTAACATCTGTTCAAATTCGAGTGATCATGATCATGTAAAATTTCCGAATTCCGTCAACTGGAAATTACCGGCTTGACAATTTCCTGACACGTAACGTAAAACTACCAGAATTCAGAAGCCAACAGGCACTAGAGTTACAGGCGTGCAGAAAACATATCACGATCAAGCAGGAACGGCGGGGTTGTCTAACCAACCTTGGCACGACAGACGAGGAAGTATCGACGAACACCGGGGGGGAGAAACGATGCAGGAAGTTGGAGTGGCACAGCACAGACGAGCGGGAACTACGACCACGGTAATACACACTTCAGCCTCCGGACCGGCCTTCATATCCAAAATCACAATCAACCACGGAGTCAACATGCGAGTTACGGCGAGACAGTCCCAACAGAATCCCCGAACAACAGATCCAATATCAAAATTGAAAACCTGGTACTCCAAATTCGACACTCACACACCCAATCCTGACCAATTCACGAACCCAATCCCTTCCGAATCCCACACAAATCGCCCCCTCCCCTCCCTCCCCCAACATAACCAACACCTCATTCAATCACGCCCCTCGACACCAACTCCACTCCATTCTCCCCCCACCCCATCCCAACTCCCACTCCCGATCCCATCCCCAATTCCAGACTCACCCCTCACCCAAACCGACCCACCAACACACAGCAGAGCCCGCAAGCAGCACAGAGCCGCCTCCGAGCGACGGTCAAATTCGCCCTCTAATCACCACTTCCAAATCAACCAAAAAACACCGGATCTACGACCGCCAGCGTCCGGACGATCGCCACGTACAGCGTACGGTACGAGCAAAACAGACCATGATCGAGCACTCGCCACTCGCTCACTCACTCACCCGCTAATTCGCTCGCTCGCTTGGCGATGGCGCCGAGGCCCCGAGCAGTCAGTCGGTCATCAGTCAGTCGGAGCAGCAGCAGCAGCAGCAGCAGGATCAGGAGGAGGCGCACAGCTCCCAGCCAGGACCCGAGCAGAGGTCGGTCAGAGACGAGAGGCAGAAGGAGGAGGCGGGGAGGGCAGGGCAGGGAGGGGCAGGGGAAGGGCAGCAGCAGCAAATGCCGAGGACGGAGGTTTTACTCTTTAGAGCGCGGTCCGAGCCTGCGCGGCCTGGCGGACAACTGAACGCGCCAGCGAGCCAGCGGGGAGCGGAACAGTGAGTGAGAATCGGCCGCGGAGCAGCGGAACAGTAATCGCAACGGGTAAGGCCGCTAAGCAGCGCGCTTAAGCAGTTAATGGGAGCTTAATTTCGAGTTAACGACCAGCCGGTATTCGTAACGACCCAGCTGTAAATTGAAAATCATTCAAAAATGACGTCGAGTCAAAACTGTGGCAAGAGTCAATCATGGCCACAGAGCTCCCTTCTTTTGCAAAGAACGCACGTGGCGTGTGGAGCCTAGAGACATGACGCATGACCTGTAGGCTTCACAACTAAGCAACGCCCTCTGCCACGGCCGCTGCCAGCAGCAGCGTCCGCCCGAGCTGAGCTGACACCCCACCTGGTGATGATTGGGCCGCTTCGGGCGAGGGGAGCTCCCCGCAGAGTCCTTCTGCGCTCGTTCTGGCGACGCTATGTGTCAGCCCCAGGGCCCCTGTGCATACCAAACCCAGGTCAATGTTTGTATCAAATCTGTGGCCGGAAGCTGTGCGTCGCACCTCCCTTCTCTCGTCCCGGATCTTCCGGTTCTCCCGGTTCGTGCCACCAGCTCAATGCAGTGTCCTGCAGTGCTGTCCGAGCCCCGGGACCTCCTTCGCACTCTCACCAGCGCTCCCACCTTTTCTCAGGCCCCGCTGTGCCCCGAGTCAGTCCCCCACTGGTCTAGGCTCATCTGCGCTTCGTCGTATCGCATGTTCGCTGCAGTTCCAGGCGGATTGATGTTGGTGTCTTACTCTCGAAGTGTCCGAAGTCTTCACGCCGGGATTCTGACCTAGAAGAAGACAGGGTATCTCGTGATTGACAGGGTAATTGACCGTGGAGGTTTGTTGCTTTTCGGGAGTTTCATCAAATCTGCATACTGTGAGTGGTGGGTCGAGTGTGCATCATTGACATGGCACTACATCGTGCAAGGGAGTGAAGGTAGTCAGTGTTTCGCGTGTGTTTGTGTGCGGCAGAGGTGCTTAAACCTCAACAATTACACAGAATTTTGACTTTCTTTAACCCCTTTGTGGTCAATTCTTCGCGACTATCTCCTGTCTTGATGCCCGCCTAGGAACAACATTAGAACTGAGGAATGCAGTGGTGAGAAGTCGTTTCTACGTGGAGCGCACGGTAGAAAAAGGATCCTCTCGGCGGTCAATTTCATCGTTTGGAGTACAAACCACTGACGAGGGAGAGGATTTGATGCCTGACGTTGTGAGAAGCCCATTTTTCGTGAACTAAATCAACTGATTGTTTTTTGCGCACAATTGCAAAAGATCAGCAGGAATCATTACTCTCAAACCATGAAAAAATCCACGTTTCGGTATGAATACTCCTTTGTCACAGCCTCCAGTCAAGCTATCATTTGACTGGACCATGATCACACAATCTTATCATTCAAGTGTCCCGAATGAATTTTGACTGCAGCGGCACTCTCCTTCACTATCGAAGGGGTTGGTTTACGGTCTTGAAAAGAGAAGTTGGTCGTCTCGGTGCCAGAGCTGTACACTATGATGCTGGGAGGACTTGTGAGCTAAGAAAGAGTGCGGTATTCTTCACTGACTCCCTGGAATTGTCAACGAAGGGCGCAGTTACAGGAACTGGATCCTCGAGTCCATGACAGTGCATTCATAGGCTCACCCTGACACCCTTTACTTTCATTCTCTTGCACTAAGAATGATGATATTCCCATTGGCAGTATACGACAAGTTACCTACAAACGATCCCTCATCATGTCTGTCGCATCAACTAAAGCATCCACCGCAACGTGAGAATTTCAAATCGACGTCTGCCGCTATACTCTGATAAACTGCCTGAAAGCTCGAGAGATATTAGGTCCAGCAGGTTCCTGACAGAGGCAAATGAAAGGCATAGCAACAAATGTGCGTGGGCGTGCGTGAGTGAGACGAAGGAAAACGACACAGGCCTTGGGAATGGAAAGGAAGGAGCTCAAGACCGATTCCCGGTCAAGGTCTGGAAAAGAGACTCTGTCGCTCGACTTCATTCGACCTATAAAATCTTTCCACGGTAGGTGAGCCTTTCTCGAATAAAATGGCTTTATTAGAGGACTTGTGGAGGATGACATCAACAAAAATCGGAGAAAGGTTGAGGAAGTCATATCGACTTGCCACCCATGTCGGCTAAGAGCGTAGAAAGCGTAGGTCGAGATCATTTGATCTGGTGAGAAAAGGAAGGAAGTATAAACAAAGCAAATCGAAAGTCTCTCCAAACTCAAGGTATCTTTTTTACCTACCCAGTTGACTGTAAATATGGATAATTCAACTGCATTTGTTAAAAAAATGGCCTCATATCATTAGAAGTCACATAGATACCAGATGCTGGGAAACTTGGTGGATCAGACTGGGAAAAAAATCACGAATGTCCAGTTAGCTGAGAACAAGTGGAAAACTCCATGAGTTTCAACATATGAAAGACATCAGACAGAAGCGGCAGTTGTGCTCAGACTGGGAAAAAAATCACGAATGTCCAGTTAGCTGAGAACAAGTGGAAAACTCCATGAGTTTCAACATATAAAAGACATCAGACAGAAGCGGCAGTTGTGCTGTTGATTTACTGTTCCTTACCATTACAAGGTATGACCTTCGCTGATCAGGCGTCGTTTAAGGAGTGGATGCTTGTGGTCACGTCCGTGTTCGAAGGTTTCTCTACTCCTATCCTGTCACCATCTCATTGGATTCATCATAATCAAATATTGGATATAATTATCTAAATGTGGGAGACAGCAAGAATAGGAAAGCATCATGTTTTGAAATGTGTTCTAGTCCCCGCAGGCAAGAAGTAGTTATGCCATGGTCCTCTGGCAAGGCGCAACCTGGAGTCAAAAGTACATCAAATATAGTCGAGCTTACGCAACCCCTGTAGACAAAACCCCAACCGGTAGCAGCCAAATTTTCTTCCCGATTGACTGGTTAAAACTTATATGTATAATATTGGGCAATCTCAACAGTTTGGAATATTTTGCTAAAATTTGACTTAGAGTCCTCGAAGTGACTTCAGATTATTGACTTTATTCGTATTATCGTTTACTAAGTATTTGCGAAAATCAACTATTCGTCTTCAGTTATACGGTATAACTGAAGACGAATCGTATTGGGGTATAACTTATACCCCAATACATGAGTATAGTTAGAGAAATGTTTATTCGTGTATACCATCACCCAGTTTACTTTTACTCCTCACGCAAGATGAAAAGATTCATGTATATGAGCGAACTAAATTTTTGACAATATCGGATGAAGAACACAAGAAGGTATTTAGATTTATATGAAAAAAATAATATGAATTAAAATTTATTCTCGTTTATGAATTATCATACAATAACAAGTATTTAATCATTACCAAAAAACGAGTGTGAATATATTTATTTTTGTGTATATATATAAGCTCCAATTAAATCTCTGAAAAAATTCTGATGAAACGCAAATACACCTATTTGCGTTGATAAATACAAAAAATATAAAATTCATTAATAAAGAAAATAAACTAAAAAAATATTTTGTTTAAAAAAAATTTATATAATTTTAAATACATATAAAAACACTTTTAATATTTTTATATATGTTAATATCAAGCAATTTCAATGCATACTGAATTATTTTTTAAAATAACAAAGTTGATCTATGATAAATATTTGATGAATTGATCAACAACATTTATTTGTAACAAACAAATTTCTGTTTTTTTTTAACAATAAAATTATTTTTTGAAAATATATTTCAAAGAATAAAATTTGTTACTAAATTTCAGTAATTTGTGTGTATGTATGTATGTATGTATGTGTGTGTCTAATGTATTTGAATATGTGAAAATAAAATGTTTTTTCCTCTAACAAATATTATCGTTTGAAAATGTTAATATTCAATATGTAATTAAAGCAAGATTCAAATTAAATAAAATCCTTAAAACTTTCATAAATAAGATCAAACTTGCAAGTATGAAACATGTACATTACAGTTTGAAATTTAATTTTTATGTCAAAAAATATAATTATTTTGTTTAAAAAATCACCAAATTTTATCAAAAAGCACCAAAAATATAAAGACACACAAAAAAAACACATCTATGAGAACATGCATATTCAACTCAACAAGTAACATGGTTTAACTCTAATTATTCTACAACATCGTAATAGTTTATTGACAAACTCATACAATACTCATGTGATAAGCTAGATCTTATTGCCACTAGTAGTTAGAATTGAACTTAATACTAACATAAATCTTATGAAATAATCAATCGACAATGAACAAGACTTATGCTTAATAATCGACCCACTTAATTCATATCAAGCAAACATTAATCTTCATGATCTATATAAATTCTAACACATATACATCTTTACACTAAAACTAACTTCAGTAAAACCTGTGTAAATTAATATTGCCTAAATTAATAACCTGTGATAAATAATATGTGAGGTCTAGTCCCAAGTCGCACCCAATACATTTATTAATAAACCTCCATAATTTAATAATTAATACAATACTAATAATTTGCCATAGTGGTTATCATAGTGGTTATAGAAGATATTCAAGATCAACTGTGGAGTACAAGTAATATAAATCTTTCTTTGATTTACAGAAACGTTTTGCCTTTACTGTAGCCACTTGATCAAGTTTGGTTGCATGAGTGATGGATGGTTCTTCTTATGGTCACAAATAGCTATCACAACCTTGTTGGTCATGTTCTTATTGGTGAATTTATTTGAAGACATTGTGTTGTGATTGTGGATTGTTGTTATCCCATGTGATTACCACGGTTTGCAAATGTTACAAATGACACGAACATAGAAATTTTCACTGATCCTTTCTTTAGTAATATCTTATATCGTTTAATACAAAACCTCAGATCCCCCGCAGTAATAAGTTAGACAAGTTTTATTGTAGTACTAAGTCTTATCCAAAATAACATAGAGTAAACATATACATAGTAAACAAAAATTGTTGTTAAAATCTAGTTGATACTCATGCAATACTTACGTAGTACCACAATATTAACTAAAATTT